CCCTGCACCCGGTGCCCCCCCCCCGTACCCGGTACCGCTGTACCCTATGCCCGATGCCGCCCGGTACCCATTGACCACGTCCCCGCTGCCCGCAAAGCTCCCCCGTGCCTGCGCTCCGTGCCCAGACATCCCCCCCCCTCCCCGGTGCCCCGGTGCCCCGGTGCCGGTACCTGCGGGCGGCGGGCGGCAGCACGGCCGGGCTCCAGGAGCGGGCGGCGGGCGGCAGGAGCAGGCAGCAGCAGAGGCACAGGCAGAGCCGCAGGGGTGCAGGCAGCGGTGCAGGCAGCGGCAGGCAGCGGCGGCAGCAGCGCCCCCGGGCACGTCCAGCCATTGCCGGCGCTGCCCGGGCACCGGCACCGGCACCGAGCGGCGGGAGGGGCAGCGGAGCGGGAGGAGGAGGAGGAGGGATGAAGGAGGAGGAGGAAGAGGAGGAGGAGGAGGGACCCCCCCGCCTCCCGCCTTCACGGTCTGGGCACACACACACCCGGGGTGGGGGGGGGCACGATGTGTGTCCGTGTGGGTGCGCACACGTGTGTGCATGTCCGTGTGCATGGGTGCACGTGTGTGCGTGCTTGGGTGCGCACGTATGTGTGCACGGGTATGCACATGGGTGTGCGTGTACATGGGTGCACGTCTGCGTGTGCTTGGGTTCATACATGTGCGTGTGCACCCCTGTGTCTGCACGTGTGTGTGTGCATGGGTTCACATCTATGGGTGCTTCCGTGTGTGCATGGGTGCACGCTTCCGTGTGTTCATGGGTGCACACATCCGTGTGCTTCTGTGCGTGCACGAGTGCACACATGTGTGCACATCCGTACGCACGCGGGTCCACACATGTGTGTGCATGCACATGTGCATTGGCACACAGATGCGGGTGCATGGGTGCGCACATCCATGTTCACATGTGTGTCTGTCCATGCGTGCATGTGTTCAGCCCTGCGTGTGCATGAGTGCCCACGCGTGTGCATGTGCGTGCACATCTGTGTCCTCATGCCCTCACCCGGGGGGCTCCCATGGCCCATCCGTGTTGCGTGTGCTGCAGGTCCCTGTGTGTTCGTGTCCTGTGTTTGTGCGTGTCCGCAGCCTGGGTGTGTGTACATCCGCCTGTCTGTCTGCCTGTCTGTCTGCCTGTCTGCCTGCCTGTCCGCCTGTCTCTGCTGCTCTTCCGGTCCCCTCTTCCATGTGTGTGTGTGTGTGGTCCCATGTTGGGCCGTGCAAGGAGGCCATGTGTGTGTGTGTGTGTGTGTGTGCATGGGCATGTGTGCGGGTGGTCCCTGCTGGGGGGGGGGTCTCACAGGCAGCGTCTGTCTGTGCCTGCAGACACAGCCCTGCACCAGCAGCACCCAGGACCCCCCACCCTCTGCTGTCAGCACCCATCACACCCCCCCCCACCACTTGCATGGAGGTCCCAAGCATCCGGAACCCCACCAATGGAGTGTACGGGGGTGCACCCTGCTTGTACCCCCCCCATCTATGGGGAGAACGGAAGAGCTGGAGCTGGTTTTGTGGGGACACAAGCAGGGCAGGAGGAGGGAGCACCCCCATAGCCCCCCCCCCAATGGGTGCCACCTTCCTCTGGGCAGGGGTGAATTGGGGTGATGGGGGTTGGCGCACCCCACACTGGGGGGACCCTCACCTTGGTCGGAGCACGGGGTGTCCCCGGCCCCCCCGGGGGTGGCCTTGCCGGGCTGTTTACCTCTGTGGGTGCTGCAGCAGCCGAAGGTCACCGTGCTCCTCCTCAGACTAAACAAGGCTGCAGCGGGCGCTGGAGTCCCGTGGGATGCTGCACCGAGGGATGCCCGTGTCCCCCCCTCCGGGTCTGGGTGCTCCCCTCCATGGGATGGATCCCACTTGGCTCTGCGGGGCTGCAGGCACTGGAGTCTCCGTCTTGTCCCCCTCAAGTGGGGCAGCCCCACTCCTGCTGCTCCCTCCTGGTTCTCCCCAGCACCAAGTGGAGCACACGGGGCCTGGCTTCAGGCTGCACAGGACATTGGCCCCATGGGTCTCTGAGTGACCCCCGGTCAGCCCTGGGGTCCCTTCTCCCATGGCCACCCCCTGCTCGAGGGCTGGAATCCCCCCAGGGCTCCTCGCCTGTTTCGGGGTGGCCCCATCCATGTCCACAAGCCATGGCCCTGGCCCAGCTCCAGGTCCCTGTCCCGGGTCCTTGTCCCCATGCCATGTTTCCATCCCAGTTCCAGGCCCCCATTCCAGGTCCCAGGCAGGGACCAGGGCTCAACGTGGGACACCCTGGGACGGGCACAGGCTGCTGGTGGGTCCCAAGGGTGCTGATGGGGGCCCCCCACCCCTGCCTGAGCCTGGCACAAGGCGCCGGCCCCTGCCCCATCTGCCCTGGGGAACGTGAGACCTGGGTGCAGCTCAGGGCAGGGATGGGGCAGGGATGGATGCGGGGCTCCTGCCCCTCGCGGGCTGAAGGAGACAGGGGGGTGTCCCCGTCCCCATACCCGAGGCCACCAGGGGTCACTGCGGGGCCACCGCTGCTCGGTCCTGCGCTGGTGCTGTGTGCTGGTGATGGTGCTGGTGCTGGTGCTGGGTGATGGTGCTGGTGGCGGGTTTAGGGTGCTGGTGCTGGGTGCTGGTGGTGGGTGATGGTGCTGGTGGCGGGTTTAGGGTGCTGGTGCTGGGTGCTGGTGGTGGTGCTGGTGCTGTGTGCTGGTGATGGTGCTGGTGGCGGGTTTAGGGTGCTGGTGCTGGGTGCTGGTGATGGTGATGGTGCTGGTGGCGGGTTTAGGGTGCTGGTGCTGGGTGCTGGTGCTGGTGGTGGGTGTAGGGTGCTGGTGGTGGGTGTAGGGTGCTGCTGGTAGCTGCTGGTGGTGGATGCCGGGTACTGGTGCTGGGTGCTGGGTGCTTGGAGCTGGATGCTGGTGCTGATGCTGGATGCTGGTGCTGATGCTGGGTGCTGGTTCTGATGCTAGGTGCTGGGCGCTGGTGCTGGTTCTGATGCTGGGGGCTGGTTCTGGTGTTGGGTGCTGGGTGCTGCTGTTGATGCTAGGTGCTGGTGTTGGTGCTGGGTGCTGGTGCTGGGTGCTGTGCACTGGTGCTGGTGTGGGTGCTGATGTTGGGTGCTGGCTGCTGGGTGCTGGTGCTGGGTGTTGGGTGCTGGTGCTGGGTGCTGGTGCTGGGTGTTGGGTGCTGGGTGTTGGGTGCTGGTCCTGGGTGCTCCGGGTGCCCGGTGTCAGTGGTCTCCCTGGCGTGGTTCTGGCCTCGTGCTGGGTGTGGGTGCACTTGTGGCTGGTGCTCCGGGTGCCAGGATGGGTGCTGGTGCTGTCCCCAATATGGGTCCCCAATGCGGGGCACCGCTGCATGCCCTGTGCATGTCCCTTGGTGTGGGTGCAGCCCTGGTGTGGGTGCCCAGCCTCGGCGCAGGTCCCCGGTCCGGGTGCGTGTCCCCGCTGTGGGCGCCCAATCCTGGTCCAGGTCCCCGGTGCGGGACCGCAGCCCCGGTGCGTGTCGCGGGTGCTTGCTCCCGTTCCCGCTGCGTGACCCCGGTGCTGGTGCCCGGTCCCCATGCGTGTTCCCGGTGCCCGGTCCCGATGCGTGTCCCCGGCGCGGGTGCCCGCGCTGCCGTGCGCGCCGCCGCCGGTGCCCGTGGCTGCCTGGCGCTGGCGATCGCTGCCGCCGCCCGGCCCCGCGCCCGCCGCCGCTGCCGCCGCCGCCGCTGCTCCCGGTGCGGATGCGGGTCCCGCTGCGGCGGCCGGAGGTCGCGGTGAGGAGCGCGGGCGATGCCGGGCGGCGGCGGCCATGGCGGGGCGGGGGGAACCGGCTCCGGGGGAGGGGGCACCGAGCACCGGGGACGGGGAACGGGGGGCACCGTGCACCGGGGGCTGCGTGAACCGGGGGGACCGGGCACCGGGGGCTGCGTGAAGCGGGGGTGCGGGGGCTGCCGCGCACCGGGGGGACCGGGCATTGGGGGTCGGGCCTGGCCTTCCCCCCCGCCTTCCAAAGCAGCCGGGGCCGGGGAAGGGGGGTCCCGGTGTTGGCGTGAGGCTCCCCCCGGCTCCGGCGGTGCTCGGGTCACGGAGGGCGCGGGGTGAGCACGGGGGGCACACGCGTGTGGCGGCGGGAGGCTGCGTGCGTGTGTGTGAGCATCCCCGGGGGGGCTGCGCTGCCGTGGGTCCCCCGTGTCGCTGTGTCTGTGTCCCGCTGGCTGTGTCACCGGCTGCGTGTGAGCCCGTGTCTCTGTGTCACTGTGTCTGTGCGTGCGGGCTGTGTCCGTGTGTCTGCTTACGGCGGCTGTGCAGCGAACACCCCCCCCTCCTTCGGACCCCCAACCCCATCCTGGGGGTGCTGAGGGTGGGCTCGGGGCTGGGACGAGGAGCGGGGGTGCCCGGACTCACCCCCAGCCCGATGTCTGCAGTGCAGATCATCAATCACTGTGGCTGGAGTGGGCTCGGGGTCTGCGGGCTCCCCGCACCCTGACAGCGCAGGGAGAGATGGGGACCCCCATCCTATGGGACCCCAGCCTCCTCCCAGGGCAGTGACCAGGGTCTCCTGTCCCCCCCCCCCGCGCCGTGTCCCCCTTGTCCCCACTGTCACGTTGGAGGCCGGCAGCCGGCCGGGGCTGGCAGGGAGCCCACGCTGCCAGGGCTGCGGGCACAGCGGCCTCGCTGTCCCCCGGCTCCATGGGGGTGATGGGCACCGTCCCCACGCTGCCACCCGTCAGGGACCATGGGGTGACCGTGTCCGGGGCCCTGTTTTGCAGCTGACACCCCCGTTTGTTCACCCGCGGTGAGGTGAGGCGCCGTGCGGCGGGGACAGCCCTGGAGCCAGCGAGGACGTGAGGAGGAAGAGGAGGAGGAGGAGGTGCCTTGGGGACCGGCGCGGGGGTCCCGGAGCCGGAGCCCTGCCAGCGCCGCACGGAGGAGCAAGGCCCGAGGAGGACCGCGGTGATGGATGCCCCCAGCGCGGGGTGCGCGGGGACCGGGCTGCGCGGGGACCGGGCAGGCAGCGCCCGCCTGTGCTGAGAGCCGGAGGAGCGCCCCGAGGCGCTGCCCCCGTGTCGCTGTGCCCCGGCATGGCGCGGCAGGGAGCGGGGGCCATGCTGCCCGCCGGGGGCCTCGGCTTCCCCCCGCAGAACCTGGCCCGGGTGGTGGTGTGGGAGTGGCTGAACGAGCACGGGCGCTGGAGGCCCTACTCGGCCGCCGTGTGCCACCACATCGAGAACGTGTTGAAGGAGGATGCGCGCGGCAGCGTGGTGCTGGGCCAGGTCGATGTCCAGCTGGCGCCCTACATCATCGACCTCCAGTCCATGCACCAGTTCCGGCAGGACACGGGTAAGGGGATGGCGCCGAGACGGGAATAACCATCCGTGCATCCATCTACCCACCCATCCATCATCCATCATCCATCCATTCATCCTCTATCCAACCATCCTCTATCCATCCATCCTCCATCTATCCATGCATGCATGCGTGCATCCATCCCTCCATGCATTCACCCATGCATGCATGCATCCATCCAATCGCCTGTCTATCCATGCATGCATGCATGCATGCATCCTCCATCAGTCCATCCATCCATCCATCTATCCATCCAAGCTTTCACCCTTCTATCCATCCATCTATGCATTCACCCATGCATGCATGCATGCATGCATCCATCCATCCTCCATCCGTCCGTCCATCCATCCATCCATCCATCCATCCCTCCATCCTCCATCCATCCACCCTCCATCCATCCATCCATCCACCCTCCACCCATCCATCCATCCATCATCCATCCACCCATCCATCCATCCATCCATCCATCCATCCCTCTATCCTCCATCCATCCACCCTCCATCCATCTCCATCCATCCATCCACCCATCCATCCATCCATCCATCCCTCTATCCTCCATCCACCCTCCATCCATCCACCCTCCATCCATCCATCCATCCATCCATCCATCCATCCATCCATCCCTCCCTCTATCCTCCATCCATCCACCCTCCATCCATCCATCCATCCATCCGCCCATCCATCCTCCACCCACCCATCCGTCCATCCATCCATCCATCCATCCATCCATCCATCCATCCATCCACACACCCACCCATATACCCATCCATCCATTCATCTGTCCCTCCCATCCCTTCTTTTCTTCCCTCTTTCTTTCCCCCCATGGACCCCAGGAGGCTCCTCCAGGCCTTTCCTTTCCCCCTCCCCACTTCCCTCCTCCAGCATGGACCCCTGCCCAGAGGGGATGTGCCCAATGTCCCTCCCTCCCCTCTCGCCCCTCAGTGAGGTGCTATGCTGTGTGACATGTCCCACTGGCCACCCCTTTGCCCCACAAAGCTGCTCCATCCCGGCTCCCCAGGGAACTGGGAATGCCCCAGTTTGGGCACTGGGAGCTGCTGACGGCACCGTGCTGCAGCACACATCCAGGCCATGCATCCTGGGGGAAATCAGAGCTGGTCCACAGCCCAGACCCCATTAATGTGTCCCATTAAAGTGGTGTGTGCCAGCTCTGCTGGTCCGGGCGCTGTCCTGGCCATTCCCACATCCCCCATCACTCACCTGGGGACACACAGGGGCCACCCCAGAGCAGGACCCCATGGCCACCGGTGCCACCGTTCCTGGTCACCAGCCATGGCAAATGGCCCTGCATGCGGATGTGGCTCCCACAGTGGGCTGGGGACCAAGACGGGGATGGAGCCAGGGACCTGTCACCCTTGTGCTGCCTCTGCCACTGAAGCTGGCTCCAAACTGGACTCTGGCTGGACTTGGCAAAGGGCAGCTTGGCATCCGCAGCCCTGAGTCAGCGTGGCAGGGCCCCATAGGGCTGCGGTGCCAGTGGGACACCCTGGCTGTCCCCATGCCAGCTCCTGCATCCTCTGACAGCAGGCGTCTGGTGTCACATCCCATGGCCAGGTGCTCCTGCGACCATGGCTGGGTTTGGGGGTGACACATCCCTGCTGGGAGCAAACTGGTGCTTCCTGGGATGTCTTGGGTACCGCAGAGCGTGGGGACAGGGATGCTGGGAGAGGGATGTCATAGGAGGGGACATGGCTCCACCCTGTTGACCGTCACCTCTTTGTGCCCTATCCCAGTACCTGCCACCATCCATCATCGCTGCCCCTGGAGGCTGTTGGATGTCCTGGGGTCCCATGGTGCTCAGGAACATGAGGGTCCCTGTGTTGAGGGTGCTGCTGGTGCCTGCTGTGGCATGAGGACACCGGGAATGGGGCAGGAGGCTGGGAGCAAGGAGGGGTTTGCTTGTGCCATGCCTGGGGAGGGAGGAACCCAATCGAGACCAGCAATGGAGTGAAATGAGGTGACCCTGTTACTAGTGCATTCCCTGCTGGTGGCTCTTGGGGACACTGACTCGACCCTGCAGCTGGTGGAGGGGTCAGGGGATGTGGGGCTGGAGGAGCTGATGGCTCCTGGGGACCTATGTGTGCCCACATGGATGGGCTGGAATGTCCCCCCCCCATCCTCCCCTGCTCTGCGGCAGCGGGATGCGGGATGAGGCTGCGAGTGGAGAGTGGGATGTGGGACATGGATGTGAGTGGGATGTGGGATGTGGGATGTGGGCATGAGTGTGCAGCAGGACGGGGGACATGAGCACAGGATGGATGTGAACACAAGTGGAATGCAGGGCATGATTTGAGCAGGATGTGGGTATGAGTGGGCAGCAGGACGGGGATCGTGGACACAGGGATGGGTGTGAGCACAAGTGGGATGCAGGGCATGGATGTGAGCGGGATGTGGGCAGCAGGATGGGGAGCATGGACACAGGGGTGGATGTGAACACGAGCAGAATGCAGGACATGGACATGGGATGGGGATGGGACCGGGCGGGACGTGCAGGCTGGAGCCTTCCTCCCATGAGGCCGTGGCAGCGCTGCCTCAGCACCAGCTGGGCCGGGCCCTGCTGCCTGACCCGGGCACCGGCCCGTGATTAATGACCATCAATTAGCGCCATTAACGGGGCCAGGCGGGGATGGAGCCGAGCCAGGGGCAGCGGCAGCAGCACCCTCACACAGCGAGGGGCTGGGATTTGGCCGTGGATGAGGGATGGTGCCTCGGTGCCTCGGCTGCCAGCGTCAGGCAGAGCCACAGCAGCTGCCAGGAAACCCCTGCTGACCGGGAAGTGCTGCGGGGACACAGGGATGGGATCCTGGCAGGGATGGGCCTGGAGCAGAGGGATGGGGAAAGGGGGATGAGCGGCATCGCCCTTCCCATGGCGGCCGGGGCCGGGATCCTGCTACGGGAGCATCACGAGTGCCCAGGGAGAGCCCTGTAGACACTGATCCCTCATAGAGCCATAGAATCAGCCCGGTTTGGGTTGAAGGGACCTTAAAGCTCCTCCAGCTCCAATCCCCTGGCACGGGCAGGGACACCTTCCACTGGGGGTGCTCACCCCCCGTTGTCTCCCCAGGGACCATGCGCCCCGTCCGGAGGAACTTCTATGACCCCTCCTCAGCGCCGGGGAAGGGCATCGTGTGGGAATGGGAGAACGACAACAGCTCCTGGACCCCGTACGACATGGACATCTGCATCACCATCCAGAACGCCTACGAGAAGCAGCACCCCTGGCTCGACCTCTCCTCCCTGGGCTTCTGCTACCTCATCTACTTCAGCAGCATGTCCCAGATGAACCGGCAGACGCAGCGCAAGCGCCGGCTGCGGCGCCGCATGGACCTGGCCTATCCCCTCACCATGGGCTCCATCCCCAAGTCCCAGTCGTGGCCCGTGGGCACCAGCACGGGGACTCCCTGCTCCTGCCCCCAGTGCCTGCTGGTCAACAGCACCCGCGCTGCCTCCAACGCCATCCTGGCCTCCCAGCGCCGCAAGCTGTACCCGGGGGCCGTGCGGCAGAGCAGCACCTTCGCCGGCCCAGCCCTATGGCCCGTGGGCACGGGCGGCGCGGCCAAGGGCGAGGGGCTGCGGGTGCCCGGGGCCGGCTTCGCCCCCAGCCCCAACGCGCCCGGCTCAGCGCCGCTGCCGGGGCTCAACAACCTCAACCGGCCCGGGAGCCAGCGCGGGGCTGCGATCGGCGCCCGAGCCACCGTGCCCGCAGGGTGAGCGGGTGGGGATAAAGGGGGTGTCGCTGAGGGGTCGGGGCGGGCACATGGAGCTGCGGGGAAGGGAGGGGATGGAGGTGCCTTGTCCTCTGCTGGCAGCGCGCAGCAGAGCTTGTGGGACCTGCAGGGCAGGCAGGGAGGGCAGGGGAGGGCAGGGGCAGGAAGGGGCAGTCAGGACAGAAAGGGTCAAGCAGGGTCGGGCAGGACAGGCAGGGGCAGGCAGGAGAGGCAGGGCAGGCAGGGCAAGCAGGAGAACATAGGGTAGGCAGGGGCAGGCAGGGGCAAGCAGGTGAGGGCAGGGGCAGTTAGGACAGGCAGGGATAGGCAGGGCGGGCAGAGCAGGCAGGGACAGGCTGGGACAGGCAGAGCAGGCAGGGTGGGCAGGAGCAGGCAGGGCAGGCAGGCAGGGGCAGGCAGGGACAGGCAGGGGCAAGCAGAGCAGGCAGGACAGGCAGGGCAGGAAGGGGCAGGCAGGGGCAGGCAGGGGCAGGCATTGGCAGGCAGAGCAGACAGGGGCAGGCAGTGGCAGGCAGGACAGGCAGGGGCACTCAGAGCAGGCAGGGGCAGGCAGAACAGGCAAGGGCAGGCAGTGGCAGGCAGGACAGGCAGGGGCACGCAGTGCAGGCAGTGGCAGGCAGGGCAGGAAGGGCAGGCAGGGGCAGGCAGGGCTGGCACGTTTCCTTCCCCTGCTGACGCACTGCTTTCTCTTCCGTGTGCCCTGTCCCTGTCCCCATCATTGTCCCTGTACCGGCACGCAGACCCCATCCATGCACCCCCATGGACAGGTAGGAGGGGGCCAGGAACACCTTGGTGGGGAACTGGGCTCTCCACCACCGCCCAGCCTTGGTGTGTGCAGGGCAGCTTTGGAAATGGGTGGGAAAACTCCTGCAGTCCCTGCTTGTGTGGGGCTGAGCACTGCTGAGCTCATCACTGCATGCAGCAGGGACCTGTGGCACCGGGCAGGGGCTGACCCTGGGGGGGGCTGCTGCCCGGCTGCTGAGCTGGGGCAGACCCCGCAAAGGAGAGCACTGGGGCACTGTGCAGGGCTCTGCTATGGTGCTTCCTGCTTGTTCTTCACCCCAGTGCGTGCCCTGTGCCTGCCATCCATCCATCCACCCATCATCCATCATCCCTCATCCCTCCCTCTATTCCTCCCTCTATTCCTCCATCCATCCATCCATCCATCCATCCATCCATCCATCCATCCATCCATCCATCCCTCCATCTCCCTGCCCATCCGTTCCTCTGCTTCCCAAACCACACACACGTCTCTCCATCCATCTCTCCACCCCTCTGCTGGCACCGCTGTATCCCTACCCGCACATCAGCCCCAGCTCCACCCCCAGATGTGCCTGCACCCACATGTGCCTGCGCTTTGGGCAGCACTCCCAGCCTGGCACACATGGGTGCACACCAGCACCATGCACACATGGGTGCCTGCCCACACACATGTGCACACACGAGTGCACGCGGATGTGCCTGGGTCAGTGGGGTGAGCAGATGGGGAGGCCTCAGTCATCACCCTGGGAGTCTTGGTGCTGGTACCCTTGAAGGGGCTCTTGGGCCATGGGGGTGGTGACCAGGGTGATGGGTGAGCTGGTGAGGTACTGGTCTGTGGGGGGCATGAGGGGCATTGGGTATCACGGTGGAGCACCCCAATAAGGGACATGGAGCTGTTGGAGTGAGTGCAGAGGAGGCCACGGAGCTGCTGCGAGGGCTGGAGCAGCTCTGCTCTGGAGCCAGGCTGAGAGAGCTGGGCTGGGGCAGCCTGGAGAAGAGAAGGCTCCTGAAGGGGAGACCTGAGAGCAGCTCCAGTGCCTGAAGGGGCTGCAGGAAACCTGGAGAGGGGCTTGGGACAAGGGCCTGGAGGGACAGGCCAAGGGGAATGGCTTTAACCTGCCAGAGGGGAGACTGAGCTGAGCTCTGAGGCAGAAGCTCTTCCCTGTGAGGGTGCTGAGGCGCTGGCACAGGGTGCCCAGAGAAGCTGTGGCTGCCCCATCCCTGGCAGTGTTCAAGGCCAGGTTGGACACAGGGGCTTGGAGCAAGCTGCTCTAGTGGAAGGTGTCCCTGCCCATGGCAGGGGTTGGAGCTGGAGGAGCTTTAAGGCCCCTTCCAACAAAAATCAGGCTGGGACTCCATGATTCCATGGTGTCCCCAGGGATGGGCACATGCCCTGGCTGACAGCCCTGCGTGGTGGGACATCAGCCCCCTAAAGGCTGTGTCCCCCATCTGCCCTGTTTCCCATGGGGACTTCCATGTGCAGAGGGGACGGTGCTGAGCCCCTTCTCCTCCTGTCTCCATGCAGGGTCCCAGCTCTCCCAGTCAAGAACCTGAACAGCACCGGCCCCATCCACCCGGCCCTCGCAGGTAAGGGCTGTCACAGGAGGGGTGGCACCGGCGGTGGGAGGGATGCAGGGACATGGCGGGGATGGACGCACAGCTCCTGTTCCCGGCGCAGGGATGACGGGAATCCTCATGTGCGCTGCGGGGCTGCCCGTCTGCCTGACCCGTGCCCCCAAACCCATCCTGCACCCGCCGCCCGTCAGCAAGAGCGACATCAAACCCGTGCCCGGCATCAACGGCATCTGCAGGAAGACCAAGAAGAAGCACCTCAAAAAGAGTAAGGAGCTCATGGTGTCCTGCACACCCTCGGGTACCCTGCAGGGGGAAACTGAGGCACAGGCACTGCCGCTGCCCATGGTGATGGGACCCCAAGGGATGCACTGGAGGGCTTTAGGTGATGCCCATGCTCCGCATTGCCTCAGGCTGTCCCCGTGCTGGTGGCAGGGGGTGATGGGGTTCAGGGCCCCATAGGCAGGCTCTGATGGCATCCCCCCCTGTGCCCATGGCAGGCAAGACCCCCGAGGACGTGGTCCGTCGCTACATCCAGAAGGTGAAGAATCCCCCGGATGAGGTGAGCGGGGATCCCTGAGGCTGCCGCTCTGGCTGGGAGCTGGGGGTGACCTCCCCATCCCATCCATCCCATCCCGTTCCTGGCAGGACTGCACCATCTGCATGGAACGCTTGGTCACCTCCTCCGGCTACGAGGGTGTGCTCAGCCACAGGGGCATCAAGCCGGAGCTGGTGGGCAGGCTGGGCCGGTGCGGGCACATGTACCACCTCCTCTGCCTGCTGGCCATGTACAACAACGGCAACAAGGTGAGCGCATCCCTGCCCTGGGGACGCCGCCCCGTGCTCACCATTCCCTGCGGGTGCTGGGGAAGGAGGGTGCTGCCCCTGATGCCCCCGGTACCGGTGCAGGACGGCAGCCTGCAGTGCCCCACGTGTAAGGCCATTTATGGGGAGAAGACGGGCACGCAGCCCCCCGGGAAGATGGAATTCCACCTCATCCCCCATTCCCTCCCGGGCTACACCGACTCCAAAACCATCCGGATCGTCTACGACATTCCCACCGGGATCCAGGTGAGGATCCCAGTGCCGGGATGGGCACCCCGTCCCCCCTTCCTGGATACCTGCTCACCGGCTGCATTCCCACCAGGGCCCCGAGCATCCCAATCCCGGGAAGAAGTTCACGGCGCGCGGCTTCCCGCGGCACTGCTACCTGCCCGACAATGAGAAGGGCAGGAAGGTGAGGGAGCCAGGGCTGGGTGGGAGCGGGATGGGAGTGGGATGGAGAATGATGAGGATGGGATAGAATGGGATGGGAGAGCAATCAGACGGGAAAGGAATTGGGTGGGAGGAGATAGGATGGGAAAGGAATGGGATGGGACAGGACGGGACTGGGACTGGAATGGGAAAGGAAGGGAAGGGAAAGGAATCAGATGGGAAGGGAAGGGAGCATACAGATGGGATGGAATGGGAAAGGAAAGGGATGGGACAGGACAGGATTGGGATGGAATGGAATAGGAAGGGAAGGGAAGCGTATGGATGGGATGGGATGGGAAAGGAATGGAATGGGATGGGATTAGGGAAGGGAAGCATACAGATGGAATGGAATGGGAAAGGAATGGAATGGGATGGAACAGGACTGGGATGGAATGGGAAGGGAAGGGAAAGGAAGGGAAGCGTACAGATGGAATAGAATGGGAAAGGAATGGAATGGGATGGGACAGGACTGGGATGGAATGGGAAGGGAAGGGAAAGGAAGGGAAGCATACAGATGGAATGAAATGGGAAAGGAATGGGATGGGACAGGACTGGGATGGAATAGGAAGGGAAGGGAAGGGAAGGAACGGGAATGGGATCGGATGAAGCATGATAAGGCTGGGATAGAATGCGAAGGGATGGGAAGAAATGGGGAGGATGCAGCACTGCTGCTGCAGGGCTGGGACGTGCCACAGGCAAGGGTGGCACCTGCAGGCACCGTGATGGGGTGAATCCTGTCCCCGGGGTGCTGGGGCCGTACCGGGCGGGAGGGGCGCTGGGGGTGCCGTGGGGCCAGCCACGGCCGTGCCCGCCCGCCGCAGGTGCTGAAGCTGCTGATCGTGGCCTGGGACCGGCGGCTCATCTTCACCATCGGCACCTCCAACACCACGGGCGAGTCGGACACGGTGGTGTGGAACGAGATCCACCACAAGACCGAGTTCGGCTCCAACCTCACGGGCCACGGCTACCCGGACCCCAACTACCTGGACAACGTCCTGGCCGAGCTGCTGGCCCAGGGCGTCTCCGAGGCCACCCTGAAGGACTGAGGCCACGGTGAGGGGCTCCCGCCGCCTCCTCACCCCCCCCACCCCCCCGTGCCCCACAGCCGCCTCCTGCGCCGCTTCGCTGCCGACTCCGCAGCCCAGCCGGGTGGGCTCGGGTGTCCCCGTGTCCCGTCCCCCCCCCGTGTTGTCCCCCATTCATCCCGCTCATCGTGGGCTGGTGCTTTTGTCACGCGTGGGCTCCCCACGGAGCCGTGTGTACATCTCCGGGTAACAGAATACACCCCGCGCCGGGACGGTGCCCCCGTCCGTGTGCCCTGTGTGGATCTGCTGCCTCCCGGTGGGAGTGAGGCTGAGGACGGGGGGGCATGGCGGATGCAGGGATGCTGGGGGGGCAAAGGGGCCGTTTGGGTGCCCCCCGAGGGCAGAGGAACACGTGTGTATGTGTGTGTGTGTATGTGTGGGTGCGGGGGGGCCAGCCCCGTTCTCCCCACACACGGGTACCGGGAGGGATGCAGGGACTACAACTCCCATCATGCCCCGCGGCGCGGGCGGGCAGGGATGAGCGACGAGGAGGCGCGGGGCATGATGGGAGTTGTAGTCCACGCCGCCGCTGTTTAGGTGCTGGGGCTGCAGGGGAGGCTCGGTGCCGGGGGGTGCCGCTGCCGGGGGTGCCCCCGTGTGGGTGCCGCTGCCGGCGGTGTCAGCGGTGCCCCGGGGCGGTGCTAGGGGAGGCGGAGCAGCAGGATGGCGGGACCGGTTGTCCCTCCCTTCGCCGCCGCTTCCGCAGCGCTGGGCCTGGTGCCGGCCCCGCGGAGGCCTCGCCCGGCCCGGCTGGGCCTTGCCGTGGCCGGGCGGGCCGCGGAGCCGCCATGAAGCCGGTGGGAGGTGAGGGGGGCCCGGGGCGGGGGGGACAGCGGGGCCGGGGCGGGCCGGGGGCAGGCGGGCGGCGGTAACGCGCTGTGCCCCGCAGAGGAGCCGGTGCTGCTGGCGGAGCTGAAGCCGGGCCGGCCCCAGCGCTACGACTGGAAATCGAGCTGCGAGACCTGGAGCGTCGCCTTCTCCCCCGATGGCGCCTGGTTCGCGTGGTCGCAGGGGCACTGCGTGGTGAAGCTGATCCCGTGGCCGCTGCGGGAGCCCGAGCTGTGAGTGCGGGGCGCGGGGCAGGGACCACCGGGAGCAGGGGTTGGGTTGAAGGCACCTTAGAGCTCACCCAGCTCCAACCCCAACCCCTTCCACTGGAGCAGCTTGCTCCAAGCCCCTGTGTCCAACCTGGCCTTGAACACTGCCAGGGATGGGGCAGCCACAGCTTCTCTGGGCACCCTGTGCCAGCGCCTCAGCACCCTCACAGGGAAGAGCTTCTGCCTCAGAGCTCAGCTCAGTCTCCCCTCTGGCAGGTTAAAGCCATTCCCCTTGGCCTGTCCCTACATCCCTTGTCCCAAGCCCCTCTCCAGCTTTCCTGCAGCCCCTTCAGGCACTGGAGCTGCTCTCAGGTCTCCCCTTCAGGAGCCTTCTCTTGTCCAGGCTGCCCCAGCCCAGCTCTCTCAGCCTGGCTCCAGAGCAGAGCTGCTCCAGCCCTCGCAGCATCTCCGTGGCCTCCTCTGCATCACCCTCTATAGTGAAAGCTTCACCTCTTGCTCTTTCACCTCTCGGCCTGAACGCGTTCCCCCTTCTCCTGCCCCTTCCCTTCTCCAGCAGCTGTAAAGCCCCGGAGCGCAAGAGCCGCAGCAGCAAAGCGGAGGCCAGGAGCCGAGCGGTGGCCAAGGAGAAGACACTGGAGTGTGGTCAGATCGTGTGGGGCTTGGCCTTCAGCGCCTGGCCGGCGGCAGAGGAGGGGGACACAGACCCTGCCTGCACCGTGGGGCTTCCCTGCCTCATCCTGGCCACCGGGCTCAACGATGGGCAGATCAAGGTCTGGGAGGTGCAGACAGGTGAGGGGATGTTGCCAGCAGTGGGGGCACTCCTGGCTTCGTGTCTGTCCCCTTGGAGGGAGATCCCACCTCCGTCCTTCCCTGACTGCTTCCCAGTGTTGAGCAGAAGCCTCTGCCCTGTCCCAAGCGGGGCTGCCTGCATGTAAGGGGTGCTGCTTTGTGCCCTATGGAGGGATGGCGCTGAGCACGGCTCCTCTCTGCAGGACACCTCCTCTTCAGCCTCTTGGGGCACGAGGATGTTGTCAGAGACCTGAGCTTCGCTCCCAATGGAAGCCTCATCCTTGTGTCAGCCTCGCGGGACAAGACCTTGCGCGTGTGGGACCTCAGCAGAGATGGTAGGAGCATGCAGGGGTGTCGCTGTCATAGGTCACCCCCGGCTCAGGCTGGGCTTGAGGATAGGGGGGTGAAACCCCCCTCTTAGGGGAGATGGTGGGAAAGGATCTTTGGTGACAGGGATGAAGGCAGAAGGGGACAGTTCCACAACATCCCCTTCCAGATGGGACCTGCCAGGTGCAGGAGGGGGTTGCAAGTAGGCAGAGCTCAGGATCTGCCCAGGGAACCGCCAGCTCCATGTGTATTCCCTCTTGGGAAAGGGGGGGCAGAGCAGGGGCAGGGCACAGCACTGCCTCTGGTGCTCCCCTGTTGTCACTGCCACATTTCCTGTCCCCAGGGCGGCAGGTCCAGGTGCTGTCGGGCCACGTGCAGTGGGTCTATTGCTGCTCCATCTCCCCAGACTGCAGCATGCTCTGCTCCGCCGCCGGGGAGAAGTCGGTGAGTCCCAAGGGATGCAGCCATAGAATCGTGGAATCAGGGAATAGTTTGGTTTGGAAGGAGTCTTAAAGCTCATCCATTTCCAACCTGTGCCACGGGCAGGGACACCTTCCACTGGAGCAGCTTGCTCCAAGCCCCTGTGTCCAACCTGGCCTTGAACACTGCCAGGGATGGGGCAGCCACAGCTTCTCTGGGCACCCTGTGCCAGCGCCTCAGCACCCTCATAGGGAAGAGCTTCTGCCTTATCTCCAACCTGAACTTCCCCTGTTTCAGTCTGAACTCATCACCCCTTGTCCTGTCACTCCAGTCCCTGATGAAGAGTCCCTCTTCAGCATCCTTATAGCCCCCTTCAGCCACTGGAAGCTGCTCTGAGGTCTCCACACAGCTTCTCTTCTCCAGGCCGAACAGCCCCATCCCATGTCCCGCTGTATCCAGCACTGCCCTCAGCCCTCCACGTCCCCAGTGCAAGAAGCACCCATGGGGCCAGGCCAGATCCTCACTTGCCTCCACCCAGGCTCTGCATGGAGGAGCTTGGACCAGGGCTGGTGCTTCTTAAACCCTGAGATGTTTGTGCTATGCTCCCGCAGGCGCTGCTGTGGAGCATGCGTTCCTACGCGCTGATCCGGAGGCTGGAGGGGCACCAGAGCAGTGTGGTGTCCTGTGACTTCTCCCCGGACTCTGCTCTCCTTGTCACCGCCTCCTATGACGCCTGTGTCATCATGTGGGACCCCTACACCGGGGAGCAGCTGAGGACACTGCGGTACGGGGATGGGGACAGCACCGGGAAGGGGGACACTGCAAGAGGGGGTTTGGAAGGGCTGAACGTGGCCTTCTCCCCATGGCCACCACCTCTCCACTGTTTCCAGTCTGAAAGGGGGCTCTGGCCCCTCTGCCAGCCCCAGAGCAGTGGGGATGGAGCTCATGGCAGCCTGGGGGTGATGCTGGGCTTGTTCTCCCTACCACAGCCACGTCCCCCTGCACTCAGCGCTGGATGACAGCAGCGAGGTCCACACCAGCTCCCTGCGCTCCGTCTGCTTCTCCCCTGAGGGCCTCTACCTAGCCACGGTGGCAGATGACAGGTCAGTGACCTCCTTGGGGACTGCCAGTGGGAAGAGGGTCCCAGGAGGACACCACCAAAAAGAACCAGGAGCTCGGGATGTGTCAGTGGGGGGCAGATCTTGTGTGGAAGGTCCCCACCAATGCTTGGTGTTAAGGGGAAAGGGCAGGGTGCCTGGGACACCATGGCTGGGACAAGGTCAGGGCAGTGTCACCCCTCTAAGCAAGGAGCTGGAGCCTGTGTCCTGTGTGCTGTGCCACCCCCTCAGCACGGTCACTAGCTCTGTCTGCATCCAGCTCAGATCTGCAGGGGACAGTGCCACCCAGTCCAAACACAACTTTAGGCTGGGCAGAGTGGATGGAGCAGCCCTGAGGAGAAGGACTTGGGGTGCTGGTCAATGAGCAGCTTCAGTGAGTGCTTGAGCCCAGAACCCCCGTGTGCTGGGCTGCACACCAAGAGCGTGAGCAGCAGCTCAGGGAGGGGATCCTGCCCCTCTGCTGTGCTCTGGGGAGACCCCCCTGTAGCCCTGATCCAGCTCTGGGGAGCAGCACAAGAGGGACGTGGAGCTGTTGGAGCGAGTGCAGAGGAGGCCATGGGGATGCTGCGAGGGCTGGAGCAGCTCTGCTCTGGAGCCAGGCTGAGAGAGCTGGGCTGGGTCAGCCTGGAGAAGAGAAGGCTCCTGAAGGGGAGACCTGAGAGCAGCTCCAGTGCCTGAAGGGGCTGCAGGAAAGCTGGAGAGGGGCTTGGGACAAGGGATGTAGGGACAGGCCAAGGGGAATGGCTTTAACCTGCCAGAGGGGAGACTGAGCTGAGCTCTTAGGCAGAAGCTCTTCCCTGTGAGGGTGCTGAGGCGCTGGCACAGGGTGCCCAGAGAAGCTGTGGCTGCCCCATCCCTGGCAGTGTTCAAGGCCAGGTTGGACACAGGGGCTTGGAGCAAGCTGCTCTAGTGGAAGGTGTCCCTGCCCATGGCAGGGGTTGGGACTGGAGGAGCTTTAAGGTACCTTCCAGCCCAAACCATTCTACAAACCCAGAGGCTTTATCTGACCTTAGGGCTGCGTGGATGAGGTCTGATGTGTTGTCTCCTTTTCTCCTTAGGCTCCTGAGGATCTGGGCCTTGGAGCTGCGCTCTCCAGTTGCATTTGCTCCCATGACCAACGGCCTGTGCTGCATGTACTTCCCACAGGGCGGTTTCATTGCCACAGGGTACGTATGTGTGAGGGACGTGTGGCTGCTCACCACATTCCCAGCTTCCCTGGGGCTGCAGGCTGGGAAATGCCTGTGCCTGCAGCAAGCTCAGGATATATGGGGATAATTGAGTCTTCTCGTGTCCTTCTTTGCCCTGTTGCAGGACCAGGGATGGCCACGTCCAGTTCTGGACCACTCCAAGGGTACTCTCGTCACTGAAGCACTTGTGCCGCAAGGCTCTGCGCACCTTCCTCACAACGTACCAGGTCCTGGCGCTCCCCATTCCCAGGAAGCTGAAGGAATTCCTCACTTACCGGACCTTTTAAACCAGGGTGCAATGTGGATGCACGGAGGTGAGAGCCCTCTGCCTGGTGGCAGGGCTTGGCCAGGGTTGGAGGAGGCACCACACGACGACGTCTCGCTGATGCCTGAGCCATGGGGCAGGATTGCTGCTGCCCTCCTTTTGGGGCTGCCTCGGGGAGTGTGGAGGGGTTTTTTGGTGTAATAATACTAGAGCCCAGCAAAAACGCATGCAGAGAGCAAGGGACACGGTGTGGTGGGCCCTGCAGGGGACATGGGTCCCACTGTCCCCCTGCTATCTGCAAGTTATGGGGTAGGTGCTTTTGCTTCCACGTGCAGTGTTGTGGGGTGAAGGTTTGCAGTCGGAGCAGAGCTTTTGGTGTTTGTGAGTTCAGGGCTACAACCACCCCTGGCAAAACTCATCCTGATGGGATAAGCCTGTACAGTAGCTTAATTCCCAGAGGAATGTGGGCTGTGCTGCTCACCGGTCAGGCTGTGAGCTGGAAAAGCCCCACAGCTCCCCACAGACTCAGTGGCAGTGATGACAGAATAAAGAATTGATTCCACCCATCTTTGCTCCTGGTTCTAGAGGTGACCTGGGCATTGCAGGCAGGGATGGCCCCAGCCTGGCTGTGGAGCTGCAGTGGGTGCTTGCCCAGCTCTGCAGTGCAGCAGGTTCAGTGCTGGGAGGGATCAGTCCAACGCAGCCCCCAGCTCCCATTGCTGCTGCTTGTCTGCGCTGGAGCTTGGTGGGATTGATCCGTGGGTGAGCCAGAGGCTGTGCCCCAGCTGATGCAGAAGGCAGGGAATGGCTGTAGCCTGAGCAGCAGGGCAAGGGATGCGCTTGGAGCAAGCTGCTCTAGTGGCAGGTGTCCCTGCCCGTGGCAGGGGTTGGCACTACCTCTGCCCTGCAAGGAAGGGAGGCTGGGCAGGAGGGGGGTGACACAGGCAGACTCCAGCCTGGGTGGTTGAGGCACCTTTGCACTGGGGCAGGGTGTGAGCCTCAACCACCTGCTTCAGGAGGAAAAAGAAGAGCCAAGTGCAACCTGATGCGCTTTAGAGGTATCTCTATTTCCTGACGCACTTAGGGATGACGCTGCGTGACTCCTGCAGCCTGGCTGTGGGCTGGAGCTTGGAAAAGGGAAGTGGAAAGTGTCAGGGCATGGAGCCCATGATCCCTTCCTTCCACCTTCTGCTGATGCAAGGAAGGATCCACCCGGCAGGACTCAGGCTTCGGCCACGATCAGGTCCCTGGTGCACTGGAAAGCCGCGATGAGGGAGCTCAGCTGGATCTTCTCACTGGTCCCAGCAGCCAGCCGGTACCTGCAGCAGGGGCAAGGGCAGGTCTGGGTGCTGACACCGGCATCCTCATCCCACCAAGCAACACGCAGGACCCAGCGTGGTAGCGGTGACCCCTATGGGGTGGGTGCCCTGGCAGCCCCCCAGCGATGGGGTTTGGGGGGCAAGGAATGGGGCTGAGCTGCACTTACTCAATATCTGCCATTTTGATCAGCAGCTGGATGCGCACCGAGGGGGGGAAATCCACTGTGGAGAGGAGGAGATGGCACTTGTCATGCTGGGGGCACCCAGGGTTGTCCCTCGCAGGGTCAGCCCCACAAGCCCCTACCTCTGTGCACGAAGAGATGGATCTCGGTGAGGATGTCCTGCAGGGCCAAGCCCTTCAGTGTCTTCAGCTCTGTTATTCCTGAGGTGGGAGCGAGTGAAGGGTTTCATCCAGGCTTTGCCCCACTGCGAGATCCCACTCCTCATCCTCACCACAGTCCCAAGGACCCTCCCCATGGAGCAGCACCTCCCACCCAGCCGGAGGTCCCAGGATGGGAAGTGCCAGCAAAGAGGAGGATGTATTAGCAGGGATCAAAGCCAGGGGAGGGGAAAGGATACTGCGGTAGGCGGTGGAGAAGTCCTGGTTCAGCATCCAGTCGAGGATGTTGGCGATGTCGGACTCGAGGGGGTGGCCTGTGCATGTGTACACGTTCTCCCCCGTCACCTTCCCAAAGGCCATGGTGGTGCTCTGAGGAAGAGGAGGGTGGAGGAGGGATGAAGAGCTTTGGACCTTCCTCTGCTGACCCCTCCAGCTCCCTTGAGGAGAAAGAGGCCGTGTCCATACCTGCAGGATATTGAGGGCTCTGCGCATGTCACCGCTCGAGAGGGTCACCAGAGCCTTCATCCCATCCTCGGTCACATCCACCCTGGAAAACAAGACCTGGGGCTGCCGGCAGGAAATGCAACCATGATGGGGCCCTCAGTGACAGGGGAGAGGGGTGGCTGTGACACTGCTGGGGAGTGGTTGGACTTGAAGAGCTTAAAGGGCTTTTCCAACCTGGTTGATCCTATGGGTCTGCTGGGGCTGTTCAGCCTGGAGAAGAGAAGCTGCGTGGAGACCTCAGAGCAGCTTCCAGTGGCTGAAGGGGGCTACAAGGATGCTGGAGAGGGACTCTTCATCAGGGACTGGAGTGATGGGACAAGGGGTGATGGGTTCAAACTGAAACAGGGGAAGGTCAGGTTGGATCTAAGGCAGAAGCTCTTCCCTGTGAGGGTGCTGAGGCGCTGGCACAGGGTGCCCAGAGAAGCTGTGGCTGCCCCATCCCTGGCAGTGCTCAAGGCCAGGTTGGACACAGGGGCTTGGAGCAAGCTGCTCTAGTGGAAGGTGTCCCTGCCCGTGGCAGGGGTTGGAGCTGGAGGAGCTTTAAGGTCCCTTCCCACCAAAACCAGACTGGGATTCTATGGAATACCGATCCCGCTGCTGCTCCCCGTGTCAAGACGGGGATCCCGGGCTCACCCCTCCTCCTGTATGACGTGTTGGAGCCGGGGCACCATGAGCTCCGGGGTGAGGGGCCCGAAGCGGAAGCGCGTGCAGCGGGACTGCAGCGCCGGGATGATCTTGGACAGGTAGTTGCAGATGAGGCAGAAGCGGGTGTTTTCGGTGAACTTCTCAATCACTGCAAAGGGGAGGGAGGAGAAGCTGGTCCGTGTCCACCCCCCCAGTCAGGCTGGGGCTGAGGGGTGTCAATGGGTCCCCCATGCCCCTCACCGCGCCTCAGGGCGTTCTGAGCATCCTGGGTCATGGCGTCGGCCTCATCCAGGATGACGAGCTTGAAGCCTTTCCTTAAAGAAGGGGGAAAAGGGAATGGGTTTGGTCCTGGCTGTGGCTCGGTGCTGGAGAAACGGGAGTGTGGGATGCTATTCCCAGCCTGACCCCCATGGGTGCTTCAGGGGAACCCTCCTTAACCTTCACCCTCATCCCTGGCTCCTTCCTACGTGCTCCCACCCCGAGCCAAGCACTGGGGCAGGCTGTGTTGTTGGGGGGGGGGCAGTGTGATGATGGGATCGGGAACTCTGGGAAGCTTTGGGAAGCACAGACCCACCACTTACTTAAAGATGGTCCTGGTGCTTGCAAAGCTCAGGATGGGCCCTCGGACGATGTCGATACCCCGGTCATCGGAGGCGTTGAGCTGGAGGGAGGCAGCAGGGATCCGTATCCCCTCCTGAGGATGCTCCCGGGGGTGGCGGGACCCCCTTATCCCATCCCATCCCATCCCCACTCACCTCCAACACCATGGAGCCAAACTCGCGCTCCCGGTAGAGCTGCCTGGCGCAGGCGAGGATGGTGGATGTCTTACCGGTACCGGGGGGGCCATAAAGGAGGAGATGCGGGAGCCGGTCCTCGCTGATGAACCGCTGCACTGGAGCGGGGAGAACAGCGGGGCTGGGGGGTGCCCGGTACCGGGGGGGGGGTGTCGGTGCTTACCGGAGGGGGTATTTACCGGTGCTGAGGATATCGCGATGCGACACCAGCTCCGACAGCGCCTGCGGCCGGTACTTCTCCACCCTGCACCGGGAGAGGAGGGGGTCAGCCGGGGGTCATCCCGGGGGTCACCCTTGGGGTCACACCGGCCCCGCTCCGGTACCGACCGTACCACGGCAAGTTCCCGCCACCCGCCCGCGCCATGGCGCGCCGCCTCGCGAGAGAGCGGGAAAGGGGCGTGGCTTGGGCGCGGAGACCACTTGGGGGGGCGTGGCTTGCGCCTTGGGGGTGTGGCCAGGGGCGGTTTGGCGGGGGAGCGCGGCACCGCGTGGGTTTGGAGGGAGCGAGGGGTCGGTTGTGGGTCTGGGGGGAGCGAGGGGTCGGTTGTGGGTCTGGGAGGAGCGAGGGGTCGGTTGTGGGACTGGGGGGAGCGAGGGGTCGGTTGTGGGTCTGGGGGGAGCGAGGGGTCGGTTGTGGGACTGGGGGGAGCGAGGGGTCGGTTGTGGGTCTGGAGGGAGCGAGGGGGGTTGGTTGTGGGTCTGGGGGGAGCGAGGGGTCGGTTGTGGGACTGGGGGGAGCGAGGGGTCGGTTGTGGGACTGGGGGGGAGCGAGGGGTCGGTTGTGGGTCTGGGGGGAGCGAGGGGTCGGTTGTGGGACTGGGGGGAGCGAGGGGTCGGTTGTGGGACTGGGGGGAGCGAGGGGTCGGTTGTGGGTCTGGGGGGAGCTGGCGTTGGGAGTTGCTAAGGTGAAGTTCTGGGGATGCTCGTGGGGGGAGCTTGGTGCTGGGAGCTGCTACGGAAGGTGGTGGGCCCGGTTTTGGGGAGAGAACTGCACTGGGAGCTGCTAAGGAAGGTTGCAGGCATGGTTTTGGGGAGCACACAGTGCCGGCTCCCTATGGGTGAGGGGGGCACCCATCGGTCTCAGGCTGAGGCTGATGCAGCAGCTCCAGGGGCTGGTTGGGGGGGGACCCGCTATGGTTCTCTGAGCGCAATAGGAACAGCGAATGCCAGAGGTGCCCGTGGGGATGGGAACACCTTTATCCCTGCAGGTCTCTGGTTCCTGGTGACTAACTCAAGAAGCAGCTCTGTCTTCTGTCCCTCACTGCCGAGGTGGCTCCTGGCTATTCCCCGACGTGCCGGGTGCCTGCGTGGCCGCCAGGGGAAGAGCTGCTTCAGGCCGGGCTTTGGGAAACAGTTGGAATCTCCTTAGAAAAGGGGTTTAGAGGGAAAAACCACCCAAGTTTGCTGGTGTGGATGATGCTGCTTGGAGGGAGAAAGGAAAGCCGGTGGCAGCGAGAGAGAGCGCAGGGAGATGATGGGGAGCATCCACAGGGAAGTAGAGGGGATGGGGAACGTATTGGGGAGGCAAAAATAAGTCATGGAGAAATCCAGCTGGGAATGAAGTCATATCGAGTGGGACTGAAGCTGGCAAGGGAAGGGAAAACATCAAGAGCTCGAGGTCGAGCCCTATAGGATCCCAAAGAGCTGCCAGAGGGAAGATGTTCCAGGTTCCTGTTCCCCCCCCCCCGCAGGGAAGGCGGGAGCTGGAGCCTGAGCTCCATAGCCTCGGCCGTCCCTCTGGGCACAGCACAGCGGTGGCAGATGGCATTCCTGACCGCAGGAGCAGGTCCTTCCCGAGCTGGGAACCGGCTGGGAGCTGCGACCTGGAGCCGTGACCAGCACTGGCTTCTGTGTGTAACGGGTCCGGAGCTGCTGCTCTCTGCCTGCCCCTGCTGCAGGCTCTTTTGCTTCCAAAGGGATTGTCCCAGGTGTTTCCTTGCTTCCCCCCCGTGTCCCATCATTAAGAAATCTTGAGCTCCGGAGCAGGAAAAGCCTTTGGAAGCGGCGGGTTTGTGGCTGGTGCACTCAGATCCATGGGCATGTTCTCATGGGTGATTTCAGCTCTTTGGAGCCATGGAATCATGGAGTGATTTGGGTTGGAAGGGACCTTAAAGCCCATCCAGCTCCAACCCCTGCCACGGGCAGGGACACCTTCCACTGGAGCAGCTTGCTCCAAGCCCCTGTGTCCAGCCTGGCCTTTGATGGATAAAGCTGTCAGGGGATGGCTCGTGTTCTCCATGGATTGGGATGGGTCCGTCAGCTGGGAACAAAGTCAAATCAACTGGGAATAAAGTCAAATCCCTGAAGCCAAGGAGGTGATTGGTGTGGGGAGGAATGGGGGAATGCTTTTGGGACCGGAGCAGGTGGAGTTTCTTTGCAGCATCGTCCTGGCTCTGCCTTTCCCCAAGAGCTGCTGGGCTCATTGGCCTGGCTTGGCCATTCTGGCCTGGCTCTGGGTATCTCTTATAGATATATAGCTAAAAATGACATAAAGTGATGTTTCTGTGTGTATATCCACATACCTGCATTAAATGCTTTATGTGCGTCCACCAAGCTCCAGTAAAGCTTCTCCAGGGGCTGGCAGAGGGAAAGGCTCTTCCCCAAGGGAATGTCTTCAGCACAGGGGGGGTCAATGCCTGCACCCCCGTTCTTCTTCCCCCTCCCTGGGGCTGGGCTGAAGCCCCAGATACCTGCCTGTACGAGTGAGAAGTGGGGTTCACCCCCTACGTGTGTGGTCAGTGCTTCTGCAGGGGCTCTGGCTGCTGTGGAATGGAGATGCCGGGAAGAACATGGGGCTGGAAGGTGGTTTTGGCTTCTACCCATCAACCTGGCTGTGAGCGTGGGGCCATCACCGTGGCCTCTGGGTAGGAAGGGGTGTTGGGGTGCACCCTGCCACTGCATCCTTGGCTTTCCCTGCATCCTGCTGCAGGTTTCCATCCTGGCTGCCCCCTGCTCATTCCCCTCTCCACTGGGGACTCCCTTGGGGTCCATAGGGTGACCTGGCCCTGAGCAGAGGGGCTGCAGTAGGGGCTGGGGGCAGTTCCCTGTTGCACCACAATACAGCTTCCTTAGGCTTTGGGGGTGCACATCCCCTGTACCCCCCCTGCTGCTGCTCCTGCCCTGCACATAGCACAGCCAGGCCAGGGACCCCAATTGATGCAGGGACCCCCATTGCAGCTGCACCCCCAATGCACCAGGGTTCCCCATTACCTCAGCCCCCCAGAATTGCCCCAGCCCTCCCCCAGTGCAGAAAGGTCCCTGCCCTCCCCAGCACCCCAGCTTCCCACATTGACCAGGGGCCCCAATAGCTCCCCAGTGCAGTGGGACCCCCATCGTACCTGCCCCCCTGTCCATTGCAGGAGCCCCCCATGGTGCTCCCCCCGCTGCACCATGCCAGGGGAAGGGGCTGGTACGAGGTGGCAGAGGGATGGGGTTGGAGATGGGATAGAAGGGGATGGGATGCAATGAGATGGGACATGGATGTGATAGGATTGGGGATGAAGATGGAGATAGGAATAGGGACGCGGTGGGATGGCATATGGGGATGGGATGCAATGAGATGGGATGGGATATGGATGTGATGGGGGGGATGAGGATGAAGGATGGGAATAGGAGTGGGATGGGATGCAATAAGATGGGATGCAATAAGATGTGATGGGATGGAGGGGATGGGGATGGAGATGGGAATAGGGATGGGATGTGATGGGGTGGGATGCAGTGAGATGGGATATGGATGTGATGGGATGGGGGGATAAGGATGGAGTGGGAATAGGGGTGGGATGCAGTGAGGTGTGATGGGATATGGATGTGATGGAATAGGAGGGATGAGGATGGAGATGGGAATAGGGATGTGATGGGATATAGATGTGATGGGGAAGGGGGGATGAGGATGGAGATGGGAATAGGGATGGGATGTGATGGGATGCAATAAGATGTGATGGGATAGGGGGATGAGGATGGAGATGGGAATAGGGGTGGGATGGGATGGGATGCAATAAGATGTGATGGGATGGGGGGATGAGGATGGAGATGGGAATAGGGATAGGATGTGATGGGGTGGGATGCAGTGAGATGTGATGGAGATGGGGGGGATGAGGATGGAGATGGGAATAGGGGTGGATTGGGATGTGATGGGATGGGATGCAATAAGATGTGATGGGATGGAGGGGATGGGGATGGAGATGGGAATAGGGATGGGATGTGACGGGATATGGATGTGATGGGGATGGGGGGGATGAGGATGGAGATGGGAATAGGGATGGGATGGGATGCAATAAGATGTGATGGGATGGAGGGGATGGGGATGGAGATGGGAATAGGGATGGGATGTGACGGGATATGGATGTGATGGGATGGAGGGGATGGGGATGGAGATGGGAATAGGGATGGGATGGGATGCAATAAGATGTGATGGGATGGAGGGGATGGGGATGGAGATGGGAATAGGGATGGGATGTGACGGGATATGGATGTGATGGGGGGGATGAGGATGGAGATGGGAATAAGGATGGGATGGGATGCAATAAGATGTGATGGGATGGAGGGGATGAGGATGGAGATGGGAATAGGGATGGGATGTGATGGGGTATGGATGTGATGGGATGGGGGGATGAGGATGGAGATGGGAATAGGGATGGAATGTGACGAGGTGGGATGCAGTGAGATGGGATGGGGGGGATGGGGATGGAGATGGGAATAGGGATGTGATGTGATGTGATGGGATGGATGTGATGTGATGGGATGGATGTGATGGGGATGGGGGGGGGGGGGTTACCTCGCGGAGCGGCGCGCAGCAAGCGCGGCCCCGCGGTACCGGAGCGCGCCGCCCCCGCCCCCGCCCCGCCGCGCCCGGTGTGCGGAGGGGGGGGGGGGGGGGGGAGGGGGGGGGGGGGGGATGCGGCGGCGCTGACGCTCGGTGGGCACCGCACCGCGATGCTGCGGGCCGCGGCTGAACGGGGCTGAGCGGCGGCGGGGGGGGGGGCGGAGAGCGGCGGGGCGGCGGCGGCGGGTGGAGGGGAGGGGAGGAGGGGAGGGGGGGGCGCGGCGAGCGATGGATGAGGACAACATGACGAGGAGCGAGGAGCAGCAGCTGAGTCTGCAGAAGGCGCTGCAGCAGTGCGAGCTGGTCCAGAACATGATCGACATCAGCATCTCCAACCTGGAGGGGCTCCGCACCAAGTGCGCCGCCTCCAACGACCTCACGCAGAAGGAGATCCGCACCCTGGAGGTAGGGGCCTGACGACCCCCCCCCTCCCCCCCTTTCCCCTCCATCTCAACCAACCCCCCCCCCCCCCCCCCGGGCCGCGCCGGTTCCCCCGCGGCGCTGCGGAGCTCTCGAGTGAGGCTGCGCGCTCTGCGGGTGGCCCCGCACCACCGAACCCTCCCTCCGGGGCTGCCCGGAGGGGTCCGGCCCGGCCCCGGCCCCGCAGCATCGCCCCCGGCCCCGCCGCATCCCTCCCGCCCGGCCGCATCCCTGCTCCAGCCCCCTGCATCCCCTCCCGGCCCGGCTGCGTCGCTCCCAGTGCGATTGGGATCCCACCTCCCCACCAGGCTGCATCCCCCCCCGGCCTGGCTGCATCCCTGCCACTGCGCTGCATCCCTTTGGCTGCCCACCGGCAGCTCTTCTGCTGCGCTCCGGTCCTCCGGCCTGGCTGTATCCATGAGGCTCCTGCTTCCCTTCCTATCCCTTCCCACCGGCAGCATCCCCTCCAGCCCACCTGCATCCATCCCTCCCACCAGCAGCATTCCCCCGGCCTGGCTGCATCCCTTCTCCCTGTTATCCCAACCTCCCAGACAAGCAGCATCCCTTTGCTGGGATGAAGGCCAGCATCCCCATCCCCGGTTCCTCCTCTATGGTACCCAAACCCTTTGGCCTATCCAGACAGTGGGAAGCGCTCTGGTGGGAAGGGGAGCCTTCACCAAGCCATGCTGCCGTGCCAAGGGAAGCACCAGCTGGATTTATCATGTTTCATAGATGGGCAATACACAACTAAGCAAAAGCTGCCAAGTGGGGCCCTGTCTGTTAGGAAGACGTAGGAAGACATTCCCCTTTGGAGCATGCCAGGCCCCAGCTGGGGATGGATTTGGGGGTTCATTAGGAGGTTGTTGGGCTGGGATGGATGGGATGGTGTGGGCAGGTTGGGATGCTTGGAGACAGAGTGTGGCCATGAGGGTGCTGTGACCCCGTCCATGGGGCTGTGCCAGTGTGGAGCTGGGCTGTGGGTGGAAGGATTTCAGAGCCTGGCCCTGCTCAGGCCTTTGGGATGGTGCTGGAAACACCAACATGGTGGCAAAGTGGTTCCAGGGCTCGGGTGCACAGGACCCTGCCCTGCAGCTGCTCTTCCGGGTGCCTTTTGGCTCTGGACCATGTCCCAAGTGTCCAAAGGCTCCCAAAGGTCCCAAAGTGCTGTGGGATTGAGCTGGGCATTCCCATGTGGCTGCTGTGCCCCTCGTGGGGGCACCCTGGGGTTGGGAGGCAGCTCCCGCTCTTCATCCCTGGCACTGACTTGTGCTGCGCTCCCACACTGATCCTGCTGTCACCTCTCCTTGATCCAGATCCCTGTCCCATCCCAGCTCTCCATGTGAAGGGCTGGTGGTCCATGTGTGGCCCTGGAGCAACTTCAGAGGAGGGACAGGGCTGTGGGGATGGAGCAGCAGCAGTTTTGGGGGGTGTGTGTGACTTTGTGGGGAGCAGACAGGCCCCAAACCCAGCCGGAAGAGCTGATGTGGGGAGGTGCAGGGCTACAGAAGTTTATCCCATGTGGGGTTGATCTCACATGGAGTTTATCCCACGTGGAGCGACGGCCTCGTTAGGGTCAGGATGGTGATGAGTTATTGCCTCTGGGTCTGAGGGATGCTCAGGAGTGTGGTGAAGCATCCTGGTGGATGTCCCTTCCCAGCCTCCAGCATCCTGGTGTCACTGGGGCAGCTCAGCCTGGCAGGTTCATAGCTGGCTGGGGGGATTCCACCCCATGAATCCCTTGTGCTCACAGGGAAGCATCTCTCCAGCCCTATGGATTGTGCTGCTCCTGCTGTGGGGAGCCCAAGCATCCCATTCCCTAAAACACCCCCAAAACCACGTTGCCTGCTGCATGTCTCATCTACGGGCATCCTAGTTGATGCTCATCCGGGTCTTTCAGCACAGGGTGATTCCCAGGGTGAATCTGGGGCCAGATTCCCGATGCCGACACATTGGTGTGGGACTGGATCCCGCTGGTGTTGTCCTGGGGTGCTGCCAGCATAAGTAGGAGCTGAGCTTGGCCCCGAGTCCTGCTGCCACCAGTGTGTCCCAAGGACGTGATGCAGAGATCCGCTCGGCACCTCTTCCCTTCCCATCTGGCAGCAGCAGAGCGGGGCCAGGCACCAGCATGGCCAAGGGGATGGCGGCCAGGACACGAGCTTGTTATAACATGAGTGAATCCATGGTTTTTGGTTAATCCTTGGATGCTAAAGCCTGACTGTGATGAATTAATAGTGGTGTTTTCCTGTTTTTCTTCTTTAAACCACCCTAAGCTGCAAGCGAGTTCCCATCCTTTGTGTGTTGTGGTTGTGCGGGGAGCTGGATACAGCATCCTGTGGTGCAGCATCCTTACTTTGGGATGGGTACCACTGCATCCTGTGGTGCAACATCCTTCCTTGGATGGGTATCACTGCATCCGTGGTGCAGCATCCTTACTTTGGGATGGGTATCACTGCATCCCGTGGTGCAGCATGCTTCCTTTGGGATGGGTACCTCTGCATCCCATGGTGCAGCATTCTTCCATTGGGATGGGTACCTCTGCATCCCATGGTGCAGCATGCTTCCTTTGGGATGGGTACCTCTGCATCCCATGGTGCAGCATGCTTCCTTTGGGATGGGTACCACTGAATCCTGTGGTGCAGCATCCTTGCTTTGGGATGGGTATCGCTGCATCCCGTGGTGCAGCATGCTTCCTTTGGCATGGGTACCACTGCATCCCATGGTGCAGCATGCTTCCTTTGGGGTAGGTACCACTGCATCCTGTGGTGCAGCATCCTCGCTTTGGGATGGGTAACACTGGCTGCAGCCGGGATTCAGAGGCACTTCTCAGGGCTGGAATGATTTGGGGTCTTGGTTGTAGCTTGGGATGGGCTCAAGTCAAGGCAGCGGCTGCGATCAAACACCAGCTACCACCACTTGGGATGTTTGTGCTGTTCTTTGTGTTACCCCCATCCCATTTAAAAGTATGGAACAGGACTCCAAGGGTAACCTCAGGATCAGTGGTTCCCCCGCTGCCTGCTGGGAAGGGGGAACCATCCTGGGATCCTTTTGGCTTCTGCTTGAACGTGTGGGTGAGGATGGGAAGAGGCACCTGGGGAAGAGCCATAGGAGGTGCTGCCTCAGCACTGGGGTTTTCCCTGCCTGAGTGTGTGGAATCTCTGGTACCTGACAGCATGGGTGAGCACAGCAGGTTTCTGCCTGGGCTGTATCCTCCTGGAGAGCCTGGCACTTCAGGATGCTGGGCTGAGCCATCTTGGCCCCTGTACTCCAGAGAGAGCCCCAGGGACCGTTCAGCAGTGCTTGAAACAAATGATGTGCGGAGCCAGAGATGGCGTGAGAGCCCTGAGAGGGAAAACAGAACCGTGGCCAGGAATTCCCCAGCCCCGGCTGCTCCAGGTGTCTGTGGAATAATTAGCCCCTTGGTAGGAGTCGGGGACAAGTCACCCTGGTGTGGCTGTGGAAAAGCTGGGAACAACAGGAGGTGCAGAGCATGAGGGCATCTGACACAGGCATGAGCTGATCCCACCATAGAATCCCAGCCTGGTTTGGGTTGGAAGGGACCTTAAAGCTCCTCCAGCTCCAACTCCAACCCCTTCCACTAGAGCAGCTTGCTCCGAGCCCCTGTGTCCAACCTGGCCTTGAACACTGCCAGGGATGGGGCAGCCACAGCTTCTCTGGGCACCCTGTGCCAGCACCTCAGCACCCTCACAGGGAAGAGCTTCTGCCTCAGAGCTCAGCTCAGTCTCCCCTCTGGGAGGTTAAAGCCATTCCCCTTGGCCTGTCCCTACACCCCTTGTCCCAAGCCCCTCTCCAGCTTTCCTGCAGCCCCTTCAGGCACTGGAGCTGCTCTCAGGTCTCCCCTTCAGGAGCCTTCTCTTCTCCAGGCTGCCCCAGCCCAGCTCTCTCAGCCTGGCTCCAGAGCAGAGCTGCTCCAGCCCTCGCAGCATCCCCATGGCCTCCTCTGCACTCGCTCCAACAGCTCCACGTCCCTCTTGTGCTGCTGCCCCAGAGCTGCAGGGGGGCTCTCACGGCGCTGGGGTCCCCCCATGGCTCCCGGTTGCTCATTCCCAGGTTAATCCTCCCCTCGTGCTCCCGCAGGTGGATTTTCCGCTGCCTCTCCCCGGTCTCCAGGCTCGGAGCCGTCTCCATCCCGGCTGACGTCAGGCGGGTGCTGGGTGCCGGGGGTGCAGCACCCGCTGCTCCTTGGAGACCGCCTGTTTGCTCCCGTGCCCGCTGCTTGGTGCCGCTCTGGGTGCTGGGAGCGGGGGGAAATCCTGCCCGGGGTGATGGGAATAGGCTGGAATTCCCCGTTGGGTTTGCATGGGGACACTGGGGGCTCCAGCCCCTCGCCTCGCTGGGGTCACCCAAGGATGCAGGGGAGGACATGGAGTGGGGAAACCCGTCCTCTGCCTGCACCCATCGCCATGGGGCAGCAGGGCCCTGATGGGCTCTTGTTCTATATCCGGAGGTCTCTGCCTCAGGGAGGAGACGGGGAGCCCCTCAGCGTGGCCAAGGGGAAAGGGCTGCTGGTGTTTTGCCCTCTTCTGATAGAGCATTGCACCCTCAAACCGAGCCCCAGCTCCAGAGGAAGGAATATTGCCCCCCCCCCAGCATCATTCCCAGTTGGACCAGCAGCGCATCCCCCAGACAGCATCGTCATCTGTGCTGTTTGGACTCCAACCCCTCTGCTTGCCCCCCCCCCCCAGCCCCAGCCCCCCAGGATATCCCCCTGCCCTTTTCCATATGGATGAAGTGAGGCAGGGAGCGGCTTGTGGGGAACACAGAGCAGGACCTGGCCTTTACAGCAGGGCCACGTTTAGCACATTGACCCGACCTCCATCCCATGCAGGGTGAGAGCAACACCCGAGCCATGGGATGGGGCTGTCCCCATGGCACGGGGCCATCTCCATCACTTCCCCTTCCAGCCCCGTTGATGGAGCTTTTGCCTAAACAAGAAGTGCTTTTGGACTTATAGGGGCTGCTTCTCTCTCCCCATGGACCAAAGCATCAGCCTGGACATCACATCTGTGTCCTTGTTTGCCCTAACAATGCCCCCCCCGTCTCTCAAGGGCTGGGGGGAGTGAACCTCCCCACCCGGAGCTGCGAATTAAAGCACCTCCACTTCCCACCCCTCCTTTCCCTGTTCCTGTTATGTCTCTGTATGTGGTGGGGGGGCTACCTGGTCCCCAGCTCTGTCCCAGGACCCTTTTAGCACTAAAGAGGCTGCCGTGGCTCCGGCATCACCTTTGCTTCCCCCTGGGCTCTCAGCTTGTGGTGGGGACTGGAGGAGCTGGTGGACAATGGACGTGGAGCAGCTTTAAGCTCCCTTCCAACCCAAACCAGGCTGGGACTCAAGGTGCCTGCTGCTGCTTCCTCTCTGAGGCCTGGGGTTTAGGATGCGTGGTTGGGGCTGACCCTGAATCCCTTGGATGCTCTGCGTCAGGAGATTGATTTTCCTTAAGCAACTGGAGCTGGCAGCTGGTCAGGGTGCTGCTGGTGCTGCCCAGCCCCATGGGGCTCCCTGGGCATCCCCTTGGCTCTGTTTTGGGTGTTAATTGTCAGTATTTAAGCTCTACGGCTGTTATCCAGGTTGGGGCTTGGGACAAGTTGCATGGTTGGGTGTCTGGCTGGTGGTGGTGATGCTGGTGATGATGCTGGTGATGCTGGTGGTGATGCTGTCAGTGGTGATGCTGGTGGTGATGCTGGTGGGACACTTTGGTGGCTGCTCACTGTTTTCAAGTGGATGGGCACGAGCAGCCTCTTCTGTTTTCCCCCAAGCAGTGCAGTGGGGCTGGTTTTACTTGTTACGCATGTCTATGGGTGCATCCAGCTCACCCCAACCACCATGGGTGCGTGCAGGGGGCTGATTTCCCCCCCTTCTCTGCTCACATGCATCTCATCGCACCAAGCCTCATGCCCATCACTGGTGGTACCTTTGTGCGGTACCACCAAGGGCAGCAATGGGGATGCTCCCCCTAACGCTTCCATGGGGTTTCTCCCTTTGTCTATTCCAAACCATCGCATACTTTGCTCATCTGTTTTGGGGCTGGGCAGGGGCACAGCACCATCTAGTGCTGCTGCGGGCAGGGAATCACCCGGCTGGAAATCCAGGAGGAGGAAATCCCAACAGGATTCCAAGCCCGGCTCTGCTCTGTATCCCTAGGGATGGAGCCCAGTTGCTCCGTGTCAGGCTGTGGTTGCCAGTGCAGCATCTTTGGCCTCACTGTGCTGGTGGGGATGGTTGGAGGAGGGATGGGACCATTGCCAAGCACAAGGGGATTGAGGGTGATGAGGACGGTGGAGGAAGAAGGGCTGGGGCAGGTGTGGGGGGAATAAGAAGCAAAACACCTATATCCCAGCCTTGGGACTGTGTGTGCTCCCAAGGAGGGATGCTTGGGGGTCCCTTTGCATGGAGCCTGGGTGTATGTGAGGGGAGTGTGTCCCTTGGGTGCTGGGAGGGGTGGTATTTGCATCTGTGTCCCCTGTCCTCTCTGCTTTTGGGTGGGGGGTGTGGGGTGAAGGATGTGCATCCCCCAAGCAGCACCACAGCATTGGAGCACCCTGGGCTGGGGATAACGGGGCTGAGAAAGGGCTTTCTGGGGAGGGAAATGCTCCTTTTGGACACTCAGATGGATGCTAAAGGAGGCCTTGACTTCGCAGCAGGTAACAGGGGGTGTTTGAGGGCTGGATGGGCTGCGAGTGCCCCAGGAATGGGGCAGAGCCTGCGCTCACCCTCCTGCATCCCCATCCCGCTGCGGGAGCCATGGCAGGGGGGTCCCATGGGGCTTCCACCCTCTCTTCCAGAGCAAGCTGGTCAAGTACTTCAGCCGGCAGCTGTCCTGCAAGAGGAAGGTGGCCCTGCAGGAGCGCAATGCCAAGCTGGAGGGCTTCCCCCAGCTCCTGCACTGGTTCCGCATCGTCGACATGCGCAAGGAGGTGATGGAGGTGAGGGCCCTGCTGCGGCCGTGGGTACCGGGCACCTCCGGGGTGCTTCATCCAGGGAGTTGTGGGGTCCTTGAGCAGAAGGGGGGAGCTTTTTCCATGATAGAGCCTGGTTTGAAGCCTTGTGCTTGGGCCTTGGTGCAGGCTGGGGCACCGGGATGGAGGAAGGAGATGGTTTCACTGCATGGAAGATGCTGCAGGTCCATGGTGGGATGCGCCTCTAGGGCCCCCCCACAGCTCTCCTCCAGTGAGGGCACCCCATTGGTGTTCCCACCGAAGGACATGGGTGCCAGGGGGACATTGTGGGTGCTGCTTCACCTTCTCAGTGGGGGCCTCCCATGTCCCTGTCACAGTGTAGTGATGGCATGGGCAGGTCACAGCTTCCTGCTGCTGCATCTGGGGCTCATGCAGGTGATGGGGGCAGCAAGGGGGTGGCACCCAGAGGTGATCCCATAGCAGCCTGGGGACAGGTCTGCACAGTGTCCCCGCATGTCCTGGTGTTGAGCTGGGTCTGGATGTGCCTGAGGCCGTGCAAAAGCTGAGGATCAAATGGTGCCCTTTGGGCTTTAGAATTACAGAATCCCTGCCTGCTTTGGGTTGGAAGGGACCTTGGACCTTAAAGCTCATCCAGTTCCAACCCCTGCCATGGGCAGGGACACCTCCCACTGGAGCAGGTTGTGTCCAGCCTGGCCTTGAGCACTGCCACGGATGGGGTATTCACAAGTTCCTTGGGTTTTCCTGTAGATTGAGATGGAAAACGAATGGTTTTGGGTCTGGGACCTAAATGGGGTTTCTCCTCTGCATGCCCTGATGTGCTGGGTTAGGGGATGCTCCAGGGGGGTTCATTCCTCCTTCCTCACCCCTGCCCCTGTTCCTCCCTGTCAGGAGATCACCCCGGGGCAGCTGAGCCTGGAGGAGCTGCTGGACATGACCGACGACCAGGTCTGTGCCACCGTGGAGAAGTTTGGGGCCAACAGTGAGGAATGCGCCCGCCTGAACGCTTCCCTCTCCTGCCTCCGCAGCGTCCACAAGTCCGGTGAGTCCGGCACCCCGGTACCCACAGCGGGTCCCCTGGAGCTGCCCCCCTCCCCGGTGCACTGGCGCTGCGGGGAGCGTGGCTGCAGTGCATTGGAGGTGTTTGCAGGGTCTTCTCCATGGATGCAGAGCTCCTGCATCCCTGGGGGATGGCCGGGTACCACTGCCACAGGGGACATCGTCGCTCGGTGCATCCCTGTGGCTTGGGGATGTCTCGCCTCTCTAGGCATGAGATCATAGAGTCATGGTTTGGGTTGGAAGGGACCTTAAAGCTCCTCCAGCTCCAACTCCAACCCCTTCCACTAGAGCAGCTTGCTCCAAGCCCCTGTGTCCAACCTGCCCTTGAACACTGCCAGGGATGGGGCAGCCACAGCTTCTCTGGGCACCCTGTGCCAGCGCCTCAGCACCCTCACAGGGAAGAGCTTCTGCCTCAGAGCTCATCTCAATGGGTCACTTCTCTGCAGGGAGGTTCTGCCCCCCAGTGTTCCTTATGGGGTCCCCGTGACCCCTGTTCCTTGCAGGAAGGAGCACAGCCGGTGCCGTGGGTACCGCGGGGGTGTTGATGGCGCCGGGGGGTGCTGGTGGTGCGGGGGGTGCTGTGTGTGCGGGCTCCGTGTCCCCGGGCGGTGGCAGCAGAGCTCTGCGCTGGGGATGCTGCTGCAGCGCTACCGGATGCTGTGGATGCTCCCGCTGGAGCAGCGGCCGCGGGTCCGTGGGCAAGGGGCGAGCGGAGCCTGTGCAGGGCCTGCGCCTTGTCCCGTCCCAGCTGGGCCAAGGGGTCCCTTCCCTGGGTGGCTGTCGAGAGGTTGGGGTGAGCTGGGGGCTCCTCTTTACCTGTGATCCCAAGGAGAGGCCCAGCCTCACCCCCCCGTGTGTGATGGGGACCAGATCCTGCTGGCATCATGCTCATCCCTGCTGCTGATCCCCTGCTTTGGTGCTTGCCTGCGGGAGCGCTGCCAGCACAGGGTGCACATGGAAGGTAGCATATGGGTACGTGGGGAATGGGCATTCCCTTCTGGAGCAGATGGGGGCATGGTGAACCCCAGTTCCCAGTCTAACCCCCCCTATTGTCCTCTTACCAAGAGCTCCCCTCCTGCTCCTGGCTGGGACGATGGCCTTGGGCTGGTTTCGCTGTGGTCCCTGTGGTCTGGCAGCGAGTCTGGCCATGACCCTTCTGTGGGATGACCCCAGTCCTGGGGGTGTGGGGGCCTCAGACCCCTCTGCCTGGCTCCTGTCCCCTTGCAATGGATGCGGCTGCATCCCAGGGGCTGGGGGATGGAGGATGAGCCATGCTGGGATGCGCAGGTTCAGAGCAGCCCCTGGTGATGCGATGTGGATGCAATGAGGGGCAGCTCTTGGGGACCAGCAGCGTCTTCCCCGTTACCACTGGCACAACACGGCCCAGGTCCTGCCCAGGAGGGGACTTGGCCACATCCACCCATTGTGGTTCCTGCAGCTCCTCCGGGCATCCTCATGGCACGGTGTGGCACAATGGCAGCGCCAGCCTGCGCAGGGGGTGGTGGCAGAGGGTCCCTGTGCCGGAGCAGCGATGGCTGAACCCAGCCTGACATTTCCCATGGAGCACGAGTGCCTCCATGCTCCTTAACTCCTAAATCCAGCTCCCAGCTGTGCTCTGCCCTCCTTCCCTTTGGCATTTTCACTAAGTCTCTCTGCTATTTGAGGAAGGCCATCAGCGCTCCCTCAGCCTGCTCTTTGTTTAAACACCTTTGACTTCTAAAGACCATCGCAAACAAATCCTGCTTTGCTCTCTGTGCTGCCTGCATCCCCCTTCCTGCCCCTCCGCTTGCTCAGCCATGGGAATTCCCCCCCTGTGCTTTGGAAAACCCACGTGAGCCTTTGGAGCAGCTGCAGTGGAGATGCTGAAGCATCTTCTGCTCCTCTGGCGGCTTCAGAGCTGGGGGTACCACAGGGCTGCGGGATGCTTGCTGCTCCATTGGTGTTTTAATGGGGCAAGTAATGGGGCTGCTAGCCCCCATGGTGGGACGTGGCTTGGTGGCCCATTGGGTCCCTGCAGGAGGGAGCTTGCTGCTATCCAGGCAAAACGCCTCCCCCAGCGCTCCATTTAACTCCATCCATCACCGTGCTGTGGGCTGGGATGTGTGGGGAGGGCTCGTTTGGTCCCTCTGGCACTGCAGGGATGCTGCGGTGTCTGTTCCTGCTCTGCAGTGGTCCATGGGGTTTCCAGCTGATGGGGGTCCTGCTGGGGACAGGGAAGGGACCGGCAGGTGGGATGCAGGAGCTTCAGGGGACCAAACCTCTGTGACATTCCGGAGGGTTTGGGTGCAGAAAGCTCCATCCCGGTTGCCAGATGGTCTCCTTGTATCCCACTTGGCACCGCTGCGTGGTCCCTGTCTCTGCGCTGGTGTTTCCCTGCCTGGCAGAGCCTTTGTGTGGTCAAATGGCCCCATCTCAGCAGTCCCCCTGCTTTTTGTCATGTGGAAGAGAGGGAGCACAGCCCCTGCCCTGCTTCTGAGGGTGGTGGTCCCCCTGCCTGGCTGAGGGTGAGGTTGGGTGGTGGGATCAGATCACCCCATCCATGATGGGGCTGAGGCAGCACGGTCCAGGCATGGACCATGGACCGTGCTGCAGGGATAAGGAATGGGCAGGACAGCTGTAGTGCGTTTGCCATGTCCCTGTGCTGCAGGAACCAAGCAGGGATGGGGTGCAGCTCTGCAGTATGGGGTGTACTAAAGCAACAATGTGCTCCTCGCGTCCTTCCATCCACTGTGTTTCAGCTCCACATCTCACAGCCCCTCCGTAAGCTGTCACACTCTGTGATGGACGTGGGTTTTTACCTGCCTCCTATCTCCTTGTGAAGCAAGGACAGTCCTAGTCTGAAAGGATAATTAATGAACAACTTGCTGCCTCTTTAAGCCATTGTGTAATTCCTTTGCAAGTGCAGTAGTGGTCAATGTCTAGAAGCCAAGATGAGCATTAATAAAGCAGGAATGAGGTACAGGATTAACCTGTTCCATCAATCTCTATTTATTGAGTCATTAATTAGAGGCATCTGATTTCCCAGGGCCAGTTCTGCCTGGGGGTGGTCTGGGATGAAGCAGGGATGAAGCAGGATGCTGCTTCATTGCTTAAATGGGAGGAATTTTGATGGCTTGAATGATCCCCTTCCCCAAGCATCCTGGGGGCAACTCCAGCATCGGGAAAAGCCCTGGAGCACCCTTATAAACCAAAGCCGTGTTGTGCTTCTCAAACCCAGTGGCAGCCCCACATTAAAGCCCTGCTTTCTTGTGCTAACAAGTCCATACTGGGTTCTTCTGGCTGTGAAACCTTCCCCTTGGCAGGAGGATCTCGGCAGCCAAAGCATTGGTTTGGAGCTGGGAGAGGGATTAACTGAATGTTAACTTGGAGCAGAGCGGGGCTGCTGTGGATGGAGGAGCTGATGGGCTGTGAGGAAGAGCCGTGCGGGAGGACGGGCGCTGTCCCACAGGGAGCAGTGATCCAGAGTGGAACATCCATGACTTGTTCTGGCCCTGGGAGGGCTGCAGGGAGCTGGGGATGCTGCAGGGTGAGGCAAGGCCATGAGCAGCTGCTATGGGGGATGTAAAGGTCCTGCCTGGTGTCTCCGTGTCCCTGTGTCTGCGGAGTGTGATGGAACAAACCTCCTCTGTATCATACAATAGAGCCTCAGCACCCTCACAGGGAAGAGCTTCTGCCTCAGAGCTCAGCTCAGTCTCCCCTCTGGCAGGTTAAAGCCATTCCCCTTGGCCTGTCCCTACATCCCTTGTCCCAAGCCCCTCTCCAGCTTTCCTGCAGCCCCTTCAGGCACTGGAGCTGCTCTCAGGTCTCCCCTTCAGGAGCCTTCTCTTCTCCAGGCTGCCCCAGCCCAGCTCTCTCAGCCTGGCTCCAGAGCAGAGCTGCTCCAGCCCCCGCAGCAGCTCCATGGCCTCCTCTGCACTCGCTCCAGCAGACCCATGTGTGTTGGGGCACCCAAAATATCACCAGAAAAGTCATTTTCCTCCTGTTCCACAAGAAAAAGCTGCAACTTTTGCTTCCATTTCCTAAAGCAAAAAAATGCTGGGAATAATTTACTGCCCTTTAGGGAGCCGGTGGCTGTAGGGATCCGTACCCAAAGCAGCTTTTCACCCTGACTGCTCCCTGCGAGATGCTGCAGCCACTCTCTCTCCTCCGCTATAGCCAGCATCCAGATGAGCAAATGGAGATGTGCACAGAACCAGGGCAAGATCCTGGCTTGCTTTGCAGTGAGGGAAGCTCTTCCCTGTGAGGGTGCTGAGGCGCTGGCACAGGGTGCCCAGAGAAGCTGTGGCTGCCCCATCCCTGGCAGTGTTCAAGGGCAGGTTGGACACAGGGGCTTGGAGCAAGCTGCTCCAGTGGAAGGGGTCCCTGCCCGTGGCAGGGGTTGGAGCTGGAGGAGCTTTAAGCTCCCTTCCAACCCAAACCCAGGCTGGATTCTGGGATCTTCCATCTCTCTGCAGCTCTCTCTTTGCTGCATCCCAGCACCGTTTGCTCTCTCCTCCTCCTCCCAGGAGTTTGTTTCCTTGTTGACATTAATGGAGTGGTTCAGCGAAAGCTTCTTCCCTGGTGAAGCGCAGTGGGGTGGAGGAGGCTGGGCTGAGCACGGAGGCAGCAGCAGCATCACAGACATAAGTAAAGCCAGATCTGGCCCCGACGAGCATCTCCCTTTGTGCCGGTGTCCGGGACTCAGTGGCCCATGGGGTTGGAGGGATGGTGGGCGGCTGTGGCTGATGCTCGTTTCGATATGCCCTCCATATTCCCTCTCCATACAAAACCAACAGGCTTTTAGGAGTGAACAGCACCGTTGAGGCAAGCAGGGCTTGGGGAAAACTGGGTAAAGGGGACTTTGATGCTGTGTGAGCTCTTCCCTTGCTTTTCCAGCTGGGAATCTGCTCTGGCAGAGCAGCGAGGCCTGGGGGAGCCCTGGCAGGGAGTGACATCCTAAAGCATGTAACAGGCTTTGCAGAAAGAAGAGCTTTCTCTTGTTGTATTTTCCCTTTCAAGTGCGTTCTCAGTTTAAGCTTATCCCATCAAGCGGATGCCTGTTACCTGCAGCGTTCCTGGAAGCATCCGTGTGTGGAAAATGCATCTCCCAGCTTCTCCTGGGTATTTTTAACCCTTGCAATGAGTTGCTTCTGCTCTCAAGTGCATCCATTGTGCTCTGAGCCTCAAAAGGGGCAGTGGCAATGGGGGATGTGGTGGCCACAATGCCCTGGTTGAGTTTTGGGTGGTGGGAAGCAGCCTTGGTCTCCTCCTTCATTAACTGCTGCTAATCACTGTTGGGGTGCTGCAGTGTTGAGTTATGCAAATCTATGCGTGTGGAGCAGCCAATGGGGAGCACCTTGATTTGCATACGTGCATGTTAGTGTGCGGGTTAATTAACCAGAGGGGTTGATGGTTTCCAAGAGGGTTTAATTAATGATGCCGTGTCCTTCCTTGCCTATGCACGGCTGGGGTTCCACCTATCTGTGTATGAAGCCATCAGCTGGGGTGGCCTCAAGGACTGGTGGCTCCAGTGGCCCTGGGGATGAGGAGGCAGCCTGGATGGGTGGCACTGGGTGCTGGTGCCTGCGGTGCCCCTTGTACCCTGCAAGGGTGGCCTTGCTCAGGGGGTATGGCCCCATGCAGGGCTGTGTTTGCTGGGGGTTGACAGAGAATCCCAGCCTGGTTTGGGTTGGAAGGGACCTTAAAGCTCCTCCAGCTCCAACTCCAACACCTTCCACTAGAGCAGCTTGCTCCAAGCCCCTGTGTCCAACCTGGCCTTGAACACTGCCAGGGATGGGGCAGCCACAGCTTCTCTGGGCACCCTGTGCCAGCGCCTCAGCACCCTCACAGCGAAGAGCTTCTGCCTTAGATCCAACCTGAACCTCCCCTCTTTAAGCTTGAAGTGCTCCATGTTGTCACTCGCAGTGTCCCCACTGGGCTGTGCTGGTGAGGGAGGGCTTTGGTGTGTGCCCGTGGTGGGTTTGGAGATCATCTCCAGCCAAGGCTTCCCTACAGCGGGGTTTTGTCTTTAATTAATCAAAGCAAGGTGTTAACGTCCTCTTTACGAGCCTCTCGCTGAGCCAACGGGCGTTTGCAGCAGCCAGAGATGCAGCTTCACAGCGCTCGCTTTAGTTTGTGCTCTGGGAGCGCGATCCAGGAATCCTCCTTCTCCTCCTTCTCCCGCAGAGCTGCTTTTTCAACCCATTCCCAAAGCTTTCATTCCCAATGCCCTTTTCCTCCTGAGCTTGAAAGGAAACATTCCCCTTGAAAAGGCTGCGAAAGGGCCAGGCAGCTCCTGATCAAAGACGGGATGGGGAAGGAGGCTTTTTGGATTAGAGCAATTAGGTTTGTGCCGGTGTTCCTGGCAGAGGTGATCAAAAGGTGTTGGAGAAGAGACCTTGCGTTGGGTCTATCACTTTGGTGCTCTGAGCTTGCTGCCACCAGGCCTTTGCTGGAGGGATCAGTAATTAGCTGTGGAGAGGAGCCCCACTTAATTACAGTCTCCCTCCTTGATGCAAATGGCACAACTGGGTAGCACAGGGCAGAGGTTTGCAGGAGCGAGATGGGAGCATCAGCCTGGGCAATGGGTGTCGCATCCCTACAGCTTGTTTGGGGGGTGGGGGGGTGGGAAGGGGTGACAAGTGGGGTGCTCAGAAGGTGGGCAAAGCACCTCTGTAACACTTGTAAAGGACCTGCTTGGGTTTGTATGTACATAACAGGAAGAAGCTTTCTTATAGAATCATGGAAGTGTTGGAAGGGACCTTAAAGCTCCTCCAGCTCCAATCCCTGCCACGGGCAGGGACCCCTTCCACTGGAGCAGCTTGCTCCAAGCCCCTGTGTCCAACCTGGCCTTGAACACTGCCAGGGATGGGGCAGCCACAGCTTCTCTGGGCACCCTGTGCCAGCGCCTCAGCACCCTCACAGGGAAGAGCTTCTGCCTTATATCTAACCTAAATCTGCCCTGTTTCAGTCTGAACCCATCACCCCTTGTCCTATCCCTACAGTCCCTGATGAGGAGCCCCTCTCTGCATCCTTGTAGCCCCCTTCAGACTCTGGAAGCTGCTCTGAGGTCTCCAGGCTGAACAGCCCCAATGTTCTCACCCTGGCTCCACACAGGAGCTGCTCCAGCCCCTTCTTGCTGGCACTTGGGATGCGCCGCCGGGTTGGGGACTCGTTTTGCCGTCCCCCCCCCCATAACCTCCCCTCTGTGCTCTATTGCAGGCGGCAGCCTCTCCAAGCAGGACTGGACCATCCAGTGGCCCACGACGGAGCCGGGGAAGGAGAACAGCCCGGGGTGCCCGGCGGAGCCGGCGCAGTGGGGCAGGACTCACCTGGTGCCGAGCCCCAAGGCGCAACCCAAGTGCGGGCAGCACCACTGCCACGCGGGCTCTCCGCACGGGCCCATGTACACCCACGTGGACCGCTTGACCGTCGAGGGTCACCCTGGGCTCTGCCCGCCCGTGGAGTCGGGGCACCGATCCCTGCCGCCATCGCCGCGGCAGCGCCACGCGGCTCACCCCCCCCCGCGCACCCCCAACATCGTCACCACCATGACCCCCCCGGGGACGCCGCCGCTGCGCCGCAGGAACAAGCTGAAGCCCCCCGGGACGCCGCCGCCGTCCTCGCGGAAGCTGATCCACCTCCTGCCCGGCTTCACCGCGCTGCACCGCAGCAAGTCCCACGAGTTCCAGCTGGGGCACCGCGTGGACGAGGCGCACACCCCCAAGTAAGCGGGAGGGCCCCCGGGGGGTGTGGGGGGTGATGAGCCCCATCCCAGAGCCTTCCGAATGGGTCCTGGGTCATGGAATGGGTTGGGGTAGGAAGGACCTTAAGGTCATCCAGTTCCAACCCCCTGCCATGGGCAGGGACACCTCACACTGAACCATGGCACCCAAGGCTCTGTCCAACCTGGCCTTGAACACCTCCAGGGATGGAGCATTCACAACCTCCCTGGGCAACCCATTCCAGTGCCTCAGCACCCTCACAGTAAACTTCTTCCTAATCTCCAACCTGAACTTCCCCTGTTCCAGTCTGAACCCATCACCCCTTGTCCTGTCACTACAGTCCCTAATGAAGAGTCCCTCCCCAGCATCCCTGTAGCCCCCTTCAGACACTGGAAGCTGCTCTGAGGTCTCCTGCAGCTTCTCTTCTCCAAGCTGAACAGCCCCAATGTTCTCAGCCTGACTCCATACAGGAGCCGCTTCAGCCCCTGCTCATCCCCATGGCCTCCTCTGGGCTTGCTCCAACAGCTCCATGTCCTTCTTACCAGTACTGAATGCAACACCTTATTTTCACCTTAGAGGTAGAAAAGCCCTTTGCAGCTCAAAGTAGACACCACCCCAGTGGGGATGCTGTTGGGATGGTGGCTACTTTGCTCCCTGGGAACGTGTGGTGGATGGGGAGCACCAAGGGGCTCCAGGGCTCATGGAGCATGGCATGGGGTGGGCTGGGTGGTGGGATTTTGATACTGCAGCGTGGGGTGTAAGAACTGAGTGTGGATTTGAGCGTGTTCAAGAGGGACTCTTCATCAGGGACTGCACTGATAGGACAAGGGGCGATGGGTTCAGACTGAAAGAGGGGAGATTTAGGCTGGATCTAAGGTAGACGTTCTCCACTATGAGGGTGCTGAGGCGCTGGCGCAGGGTGCCCGGAGAAGTGCTCTTGAGCTCCTGCAGAAGACTTCCCATTCTCTGCCCATCCTTTCCCACTGCTCTTGCTCTGCGGCTCCGGCACCGGCAGAGGCTGCTGCAGTGCAGGGAAAGGGCTCCCAGCACCGAGGAGCTGCATCTCCATCCCCTGTGAGTGGTGCAGAAAGCCCTGGTGCTGCCTCGGCGCGGGGTGGCAGAGGGGAGCGATGCTCACCCCGGGGCATCCTCTCCTCTCCTCTCCGCAAGGATGCGTTGGGATGGAGCCTGGCTGGTCCAGGCTCCCAAAGCAGGAGCTCCAGGGCAGGCCCTGCTGCCAGACCCTGGTCTGCCCCAGCTTGAGCAGGAGGAGACCAGAGCAGGTTTGGAACGGGCTTGGGGTGGCCGCAGCATCCTGGTGTCACTTGTTCCCCCATTGAGTCCCTAAGGCTGCAGCATCCCCCGGGCTGTGGTTGCTGCACTAAATGGGGTGTTTGTTAGATGGGGAGGGTGGTTGCTGGTCTGGCCTGTGAACTGTTGGTGTCTAAAGGCTTTTAGAAGTGAATTTGTTCCATCTGCTCAATGCCTCCTGTCAGGCCGGCCTCCCCCTCATGCTTAGGCACTGGGAAGCTGTATTTACTTTGGTCCATCCCGGTGAGCATCCCCACGTTTGCAGGAGCAGCCCATCTCCTCATACTTACATTTGTGTTCCAGCATCCGATCCAAGCCCTACCCTCATTAACGGAGTGGGTATCTCCAAGGGCAAAGCCTTCCCTTGCTTCCCCACAGCCATTTGATCCCCAGCATGGTCATCACATGCTCCAGCTCACCCTGGTGTGGGTCTGGGTGAGGTTTGGACACAGATGTCTGGATCTTACTCCAGCAAAACCCCTTTGGTTGCTGATTCCTCAAGCCAGGCAGCAAACTGCTCTAGTGGAAGGTGTCCATGCCCATGGCAGGGGTTGGAACTGGAGGAGCTTTAAGGTCCCTTCCAACCCAAACCATGGTTCTTTTGGTCCCTGTCTGTGTCCGGTGTCTCTGGTGCTCCCCTTCCTGGTGGTGTTGGACAACTTTAATTCACGGGTAATGAATTAATAGAGGGAAGAGAGAGCTGATGCTAACAGTGCTCCCCTGTGCTTACGACTGGGGGTTCATCCTGTCTGTGTGGGGGTCCCAAGCTCCAGAAAGCTACTTGGAGAACGGGAAAGGTGAGTTTTCCCTAATGGCACTTCATGGGGTTTCAGGGGACAACCGCTAAATCACAGTTGCTAATCCCATTAGTGCTTTGGGAGAATAATTAGTGCATTAAAGAGGCAGCTGCTTCTCTTCCTCCTTTTCCCCAGCAGAGGTGTGCTCAAGTTTAGCTGTTCATCAGCCTGGATGTGATGGGTAGCACAGAGAAAAAGTGGCTTTTGGGGCTGCTATCAGTTAATTCTTGTTCTGTGGCTGTGTCTGTGCAATGCACCTGTATTTTGGGGTGGGTTTGATTCTTTTTAGCGTCATAACTGCGGTGTCTGGGTCCTCCATGCTCTCTGTAAGAGGGAGGCTTCATCCTGACCTCAGACACGAAACGGGGCTCATCCCTGAGTTATGATTTCAGGTCTTCTCCCATCAAGCCCTTCTGGTTTTAGCTGTTCCAGTGGGCTCTTGGCTTGCTTTGGATCATGGTTTTCTGTTCTCTGTTTGTAGCCCGGCATGGAAATGGGGCTAGACCTGGAGAGCTGATGGTGTGGGGACACTGCTGGGGACCCCAAGTGTGCGTGGGCATCTCCTGGGGTGATTTTGGGTCTCGATTTGCCCCCATTCCTGCCTCTCTGCAGACTGGTCCCTGGTGGGACCCGTCTGAAACCCTCAGGAGGGAGGCTGGTGTCCCCCGAGGCTGATGTACCTGGTGAGCCCCATCTCAGGATGGTTGGAAATGGGCTCTGGGGAGCCAGGGATGCCCTTGGCAATAGCAAGGAGCTCTGTCCCCATGAGCTGTGGGTCAGTATTGATGGAGGGCAGCTCTCAGGGTGCTGTGGGGCTGCTCCACAGGTTATTCCATCTCAGTGCAGGCACTGAAGTAAAGCACCACCATGTACTTGTGAGAGCAACAGCGACTGAGTTCTCTCTGGAGCAAAAGGCCACCAGGTACCACTTGATTCTTGATGCCAGCTCCTCAGTTTGCTTGTATTTTGTGGTTTGGAGCTTATTTCTAGGGTTTAATCCATTGCTTTTGTGTGCCAAGACCTTCTGAAGCAGGGGTTAAGGGTTTTGGAGCTTCCAGACTCAGATTTTCCTGCATGGAGCCTCCAGCTGTTGACCGTAACTCTGGCGTATGGAACATTACTCCTAAAAAGATCCCCTGGCTTCCATAAAGCCCCAATCCAGAAACATCCTGGGAATGGCCTTGCAAGGGAAACAAAACATTTAGAGTGCTTGAGAATATAACGCCCATTTACTACCTGCTGAATTCCACGGCCCATTTCAGTCCTTCATGGGTAGTTAATGGTTATCCATCAGCAAGAAGGCAGGAGAAAAACCCAGCTGAGTGCAAGGGCTGAAAAGGACCTCAGCTGGGGAGTAAAAGCCAAGCTGGTGAAGGGTGAGCCCAAGAGTGTGCGTTAACCCTTGAAGGGGGTGTGTAAAACAGCCTCTGGAGGGGAGATCTGCCCCAGCGTAGGGGGGTGCTTGGGTCCTCTCCATCCTTAGAGCCGTATAAAGGGGAGCTGAGCCAGAAACCTCATCGCCTTCCCAGCTGCGGTTCCTTTGGCCACGCTGGTGTCTGGCCAAGCTCCGTGGCTTCCAAGGAGCAGCCTCTGGGGATCAGATGGGAGGGAGGAGCAGAGCAGGTCCACAGTGGGTTAAAGCAGCGTGACCTGGCCGAGCTGAGCCCCAGGGGATGCTGGGCTCTCCCCAGGCTCTGTGGGTGCTGTACCCAGGGCAGGTTTGGGCTGGGAGGAGGCTCCTGCAGCTCAAGGCAGCTTTGGTCTGGGTGTGTTTTCAATGAAGATTCTTTATCCTGTATCATCGCAACCCCATCCGAGGCGTGGGTGCACGTAGGGTTGGGTGCTCTGGTGCCGAAGTCTTGTTTATCCGAAGCCATGCAATGGTGCCTCATTGATCCTGAGGGTGTATCCTGGTCAGGTCTTCTCCCAGTGCCTAAAGGGGCTGCAGGAAAGTTGGAGAGGGGCTTGGGACAAGGGCCTGTAAGGACAGGCCAAGGGGAATGGCTTTAACCTGCCACAGGGGAGACTGAGCTGAGCTCTTAGGCAGAAGCTCTTCCCTGTGAGGGTGCTGAGGCGCTGGCACAGGGTGCCCAGAGAAGCTGTGGCTGCCCCATCCCTGGCAGTGTTCAAGGGCAGGTTGGACACAGGGGCTTGGAGCAAGCTGCTCTAGTGGAAGGGGTTGGAGTTGGAGGAGCTCTAAGGTCCCTTCCAACCAAAGCCAGGCTGGGACTCTATCATACCCTGAATGGATGAAGTCAGATGTGACGTTCGCATCTGCTCTGGTGATAGAGCACTTATCCGCTTCCTTATTTTCCTCTTGTATTATTTCCAGCTTTAACTCGAAGCTTTGTGTATTGTGGGTGGTTTTCCCCCTCCCGTGTAGCAGAAAACCCCCTGAGAAACAGGACATCTCCTGCAGCACTTGGTCAAGTCCGGTGTAAGATCCTACTTGGGGCCTCGAGGCATGGAGGTAAAACTGAGTCACAGACTTATAGAAACCCGGGACCAAGTTCGTCTTTAGCACACCAAGCAGCCTGCGGTTGCACTGTCCCTAGAGTTAGCAATCTAAGCTGGAGTTCAATGCTACTGAGAGATGGGTCATTGATTCTGCTGCTCTGCAACCTTTATAATAGTGATGTTTTCCCTTGCATCGATGCCAATCAACTCTTCTACCAGGTAGATCAATTATTTGCTATTCCACACGGCCTGGATTTGAAAGAGCAGCATTGAGATGGATCTCGTGCTTGGCGCGTCTGACATTTCCCAGCCTTGGAGAGGCAAGTGGGCTCCTGGCATTGGGGATGAGCAAGGGATTGATGTTTGCAGAGCAGGTGGGTGCAGCAGGCCACTACCAACATGTGCAAATAACCCATCTGCAGCCCTGTGTTATTCAT